TTATGTGAGGCCGAGCTGGCTTCTGCTGCGTGTGTTCAAGAACCCTAGTTGATACAGACTACCCTTGATGGTGGCTGGAGGTGGGCAGTTTCTAACTTCCCAGCTTCACAGTGTGGGACAAGCCGGCCAGCTTGTTGACCAGGAGCCAGTTATGGTAAATCAAGAGGGAAGACCAAGGCCCTGTGGCCACTGCTGTGGAAGCAGGGGCAAGTTCACCATCATTATCAAGATGTTTTGAGGGCTGAAGGCCCAGGCCTTCAAGCAGCAGACACTGCCGACCTGAATGCATCATGTTCCCAGATGCACAAGGAACCACTCTGGATCCCTGCCTGGGTCCCTGCCTCTGCTGGGGAGGAGAGGGGTTCAGCTCACTGGGATAGGAGAGACAGGCTAAGTGGTGAGGGTCCTGAAGCACCGGCAGACACCTTCCAGGTGGGGAGCTTTGATGGGTGGAGAGAGGTTGGGGGATGGTAACACAGCAGACAGGTCACCCCACGCTCAGGCCCACTCCCAAATCCAACTCTGCATCTTTGGCTCTGTAGCTGGGGACAAGTGCTGTTCTGCACATTGGCACCTCTCCTGGTTTTGCCAGGACTCAGGGAGACCACAGCTCTGAGGTTTAAGCAAGTCCTTAAAAATGCTGCAAGGTCTTATTTGCAAAGCAGGCACAATTTTCTCTCCAGCAGCCCCCTCGAGAGTAGTTGAGACAGAAATGGCAGGCTTTGGAGGAGGGACAGAACAGCCCCAGAGAGAGGCTCAAGCTTGGCCTGCGAGGCTCTCCAGCCTGTTCTGCCTGCTCAAACCTGGTAGGGGCTCTGGAGTGTGGCAGACCAGGGTTTGAATCTTGGCTCTGCCATTCACTGACTCTGGGACCTTGAACAAAGGGCTTACCATCTCTGATGTTCAGTTTTCCCAGCTGTGAAGTAGGCATCCTAACAGGGTCGTACTAGGCACTGGGGATAAATGATCAGTTTGTGGTCAACATCTCCTCGGATTAGTTACACCTCTGCCCCCATCCCATAGTGAGCTCTTTGAGCCTTAACTCCCTGGCAGTCTGGCTTTCTAGGCCAGTTCTTACTGGGACACCTGCCAGCTGCCAGGCCCATCTGGCACCATCTGCAACTGTAACAAAGCCATCCAGGCTGCATGGTGAACTCCACGCAGCCCCTCACTGCCCTGCCCCACGCAGGGTGATGCTCCCTTCCCTGAGTGCCTGGGTGGGACAAGAGCGGATCAGGGGGAGTCAGTGGGGAAAGGATCACGGAGCCTGATATCTGGAACAGGTGCCCAGGGCAGGCAAAATTGTCAAGACAAAGCATTACTGTACCCCCCCACCTGGTCTCTTTGCTCTCAGCTTCTGACTCCCCTGTCTCCCCCTAGATGCCCCTCTCCTGAGCCCCCCTCAGTCTGTACCCAGTGACTTCTAACCCTGCCTGGCTCTCTCACCTCCAGCACCCCCTACTCACGGGATGTCCAGCACAGATGCTTCCCTGTGCCAGCAAAGCTAGTGCAGCTTGAAGGGGGACCTTCTTAGTTATAGATCTAGGACCAAATCCTGCCTCTAGCACTGTCTAGCTGTGTGGTCTCACACCAGCAAACCCATCTCTCTGAACCTACCTCCATGTCATCTACTCCCAGTGTCCCGTGTCCCTGGTGGATTAAATGTGACCACTTGTGCAGAGGGCTGAGCACAGTGCTTGGCTGTGGGATGGCAGCTACTGCCATTGCCATTTATGATGACACCCCCAACTCCTGTCCTTGGTGACACATATCTTCTAATTCCCACTGTTCACTGCCTCTACATTTTGGTCTGCTTGCTTCCTCTGGCCCGAATGCCTCCCTTCCTGTCTCCAAAATGCAAAGCCTCTGTTCATGTGAAAACAAAATAACACATCCGTTATGGCCCCTTCTCCCTAAACAGATGGGACCCCTCTTCTCTGACCCCATACTTGTCCCATTACTATGAAGATGCTTTTTAAGGTGTGATACATGATGCCCATTTCTCAGATGAAAGTCAGGCTGGGAGAGGTGGCCAAAGCTCCCACAGCCAGTGGGTGGAGCCCATGTTGCCATCACTGCCTGAGTGAAGTTCAGGGCAGTAATTATTATTTTGGGTGGTGGGACAATTTTACTGAAGAGGAAAGAAGGTTCACGGAGTTGGACACTTGCTCTGGGTTAGTATTTGATGCCAAGTTCACAGTCTTAACTCACGTGCCTATAACGCTGGGCTGTGGTGGACAATGTGCTCTGATCCTTGCATCCCAGAGTGTGGTCTGTGGTGCAGTGCAGCCTGTCATGAATGCAGGATCCTGGGCCCCAGAGAGACCTGCTCAGTCAGGGTCTCCTGGTGACTCGTGTGCACAGGGCTGGGAGGCTCTGGTTTGGGTTTACATACCTCTCTCTTCCTCGGCCGGCTTCTTGTGGGGCACATCTTCGGCGGGACTTCTCCTGCCATCACGGGGTGGATTCTCACAGTCTGGCTCTCCTGGTGAAGGGTCTGTGCACCGACACAGACGCCGTCCCATCCACCAAGGCTTTGAGTCTCCTGATGGCTCAGAAACCACCCACTGCCAAGGGCTGAGAAAAACCACGAAGGGAATGTGGCTGAGAGTCCAGGTTTGGGGAGATGTGGCATCAAAGTGCATGTGGAAGCTCAGGGCGTGGCGAGGGCTCAGGCAAAGGAGCCAAAGACCGGGGGCTGAGGGTGAAGCTAGGCAGAAGCTCATCAGAATGGCCTGCTAAACATCTGAGGACACCAGTAACAAGGAATCTGAAAGACACAGATAACTCCAGAAAGGACATCAGTTAGGTTCCTGGAATAAAATCATGATGACAGTTGTGATGGTCGTGAGTCCCTGAATGTCAGCAGAGCCCAGCGCAGGCTGGGGCTTTTCAGGCAACGCTGTGGCAGCTGCTGCTACTACCCCTATTTTATGGAAGATGGAACAGTAGCCCAGAGAAGCCAGGGGCATTGTCCTCAGCCTTAGAGCCAGTGAGCGGCAACACTGGGTTGCGAACACAGTTCCAAGTGCTCCGCAGCCCTGCTCTCTCCAGAGCCCTCAGTTGGATCTATAGTACTCAGCTTGGGGTCTGCAGTCAGTTGTGACTCTTGAAATGAAGGCTAGCTGTCAGGATGGCTGGTTAGCACGAGGAAGCTTTCTTTCTGGCTGCATGCGCCACAGGCTGTTGACAACTGCGGATCCTGTCTGGGCCTCTGGGCAGCCTCTTCTCCCTCGCAGTCTAGCACTGAGTGTGTGTGTGTGTGTGTGTGTTGGTTGGTCACAGTTGGGGGACACAGTGAGGCACAAGCCTGGAGCTTCTGGCAGAAGAACTCTTTGCTTGTGTCTCCCCCACTCAGCTGACTCCCCACAGGCAGTACAGATAGAGTGTGCCTTTCTCCCATTCTGCAGAAGGTCCACAGGGGAAACAGGTGGCCCTTCCCCATGTAATTTCTCTTCTCCCCACTGCAACTGTTGGTAGCAGCAGAAGCTACTCTGGAAGCTTAGCTACAGCCTGATCAACAGGTCATGGGCAGCTCTGCTTAAAGCGGAAGGTGAGAAACTGCAGGAAGGTGACTAGCATCTGAGTGCCGACTTGGAGCCAGAACGGAGCTGGGTGCACCGTACGGTGCCGCTGAAGAAGGTGGGACTCAGGAAACATGCAGAGAGGCTGCCCCACAGGACTCAGAGCCAGCAGGTGAGGGACTGGCTTGGCAGCTCCCCTCTGCCGTCCACAGCCCTCAATCTGCTTCTTGGAAAAGGACACCCCAAGAACCACTTTCCATGGTTCTTCAGTCCCTTACCAATTTAGTAAGTTTCCAGGAAGTAAGTCTGAGCCTAAAGGAGCCCTGGACCTTCACGTTAACCAGGCTGAGTGTGACCTATCTGTCCAAGCCCTGTCACTCGATTTTAGCAGTGGGGTAGCTGTTAAATGAACAGGACAGAGATAGCTGATGGCTTTGCTGCGGTCAGAAACATAATGGACACCAGTGTTTCACCTAAATATTCTTAAGCACTTGCAAGTTCTGTCAGTATGTTAAAATTGCCTTCATCTTAATGATAATTCTAAAAAACCCATTTTTCCTAGTTACAGATTTTCTCTTTGCAGTGATGACTTGTAACTAAAGGCCTAGTGTCATGGAATAGCCTTTAGGCATTTAGGCAGGAGCGCCTCACACTGGAGGCTCTGAGGCGTCCTGGGGTCTTGGCGGTGTTTTCTCCTTCCATGGCAGAAATGCTCCATGTTAAGAAAGCCCAGCACAGACGAACTCCTCAAATGCCAGGCGTCCAAACTGTTGTAAAAGGGCCTGTCAGGCTTTCAAAACCTCTTTCTGAATCCCTAGATTTCAACAGGCCTGCCTTGTGCTCAGACCCTGAGGTGCCCCCAGGCCAGGGGAGGTACTGAGGACTCATGGGGTGCCATGGGTGAGGGATAAGCCCTTGAGGGTAGAGTTGGAACAACTGGCCGGCCAGAGGTGGGTTTTTTGCTGAGTGTAAATCTGGGCTTGTTAATGGAATGAGACAGGGCTATGTGTCCTGCAAGTAAGGTCCTCAGTGAAGCAGAAAAGCAGAATATACCCAGTTGTAGCTATAAAATTTTACTTCAGACACTTTAAAACTATCTGGGTTCTTCTCAACACACCCGTACTACTTTTATACATTATTACTGTGTGAAATACATAATCCAGGGTGATGGCTGCCTCCAGGAGGCGGGTGCGCGGAAGGGACGGGAGCACGGATGGTGCTGAAGGGGACTTTAGCTTTATCTGAAATGTGTTACTTCTTAAAGCAAAACTGGAAGCAATGGAAATGACAAATGTCAATGGCTACTAGCTCTGGTTAGTCAGTGCGACTTAGATGTCTGTTATACTCTCCTTTGTATCTTCTTTCCACTGGGGAGCCCATGTGTTCCTTAAGCCCCAGGTGCCCCATCTCGAGCTATCCACAGGCATGTGGTGGGAACATACGCCCTCTTCAGACAAAAGGAACACAGCCATCATGTGCTGAAGTACAAATTTAATAAAGCCTTTGATCTATAAGTTATCTATGAAACAAAAAAGCCCACAGCGTTTTAGAGCCATCAAGAGCCATCGAGGTGTCAATGAACACCAGCTATAAAAGTACAGGTTCAGTGTTTTTAGATAGTGCAATATTTCCAGCTGTTGAAGAGAAGAACTTAAATGAAATTACAAACTACCCCTCCTCGTCAAGAAAACGAAGTTGATGTTGGTGTTTAGAAACCACTCTCTCCCCACTCCCCCACTGGCTGATTCTCAGGTAATAAAAACCAAGATGGGATCAAACTTCTTTGTGCAGGTTGACAATTACTTGGCCTCTGCATAAATGTACAAACCTGTTCAATGTACACACACACGTTCAGAAGATATCATCAAAGGAATCGAGTGTTTCACAAAAAGTGGCAAATCCATAGAATCAGAGGAACTAACAAATCTTAAATAATATAAGTAAATTCCTGTTTGTCTTTAGATTCCTTGTCATCTTCTTCCATCAAAGTAAAACACGCACTCTGTTCTCCAGAAGCCAGGGACTCTAACGCAGCCAGGCCTGCACCCTGGAACCCTGCTGAGGTCCCCTAACGGAGGTGATGGAAGACAGGTCTTGCCCACTTTGCTGCTAATATGAAGTTTCTTGCTGGAAGGTGTCTGGCTGCTTGGAAGAGAGCTGCAAGCCCTCAGCTGGCTCCGCAGAACAGGTGGGGACCAGATCCTCCTGGCTTTTATTCTAGCTTCACTCTCAGTCATGGAGACGCACAAGGAGAATGACGAGGCAGGTGAGGGTGGATGGCTGTCAGCACAGACCACCAACTGGCCTTGGCCTCAGTTCCCTGGATCTGAAGTTAAGTTCTCATGATAAAGGTGAAGAATGAGGGCAGAGGAGCACAATGGATTGAAGAGAAAACAGAGTAAAAAACTGCAACAAAAAAAACCCAACCCAGAGGGTGCATGGGTTTCCTCAGCCTTGCAAGCCTCCTTCAGTGTAAAGGGTTGCAGGTTCCCTGACAGGAGGCAAGACCCAAGTCTCCTGGAAGTTTACACCTATGGAGTAGAGCCACTGCCCGCATGCCCTAGGCCTAGGTACCTTCAGCTAGTGTTTGTTCCTTAGTAGATAACAAGCAGGCAAACAAGCAGAGGAAAGGCAGCTGCCCCTGTGGGAATCAGTGAGCTTTGGGTAAGAGCCAGTGCCTTCTGCTTTTTCTCCCAAACCCAGAATGCCAACGTGAATGCACAAGATGGGAACGAGCCAGTGGAGGCCCCCTGGCAGCTTGGCCTGCTGAGGCCTCAGAGCATTCGCTACGAGAGTGAGGGGTCGGTGGGGTGATCGAGTGCGGAATGCGTGGCTTTGAGGTGGGTCGGTGCTTTAAACTTCCTGCAAGGCAGGCACCTCTGCCTCCCTGGGGCACAGGCGAGCCTGCTGTCTGCAGAGAGGCCACTGCGATGGGACGGAGGCAGAGCTTTGTCGGGTGCATAGAGGCTTGGCAAGGCCTGACCTGAGTAGAGTTTTCAGAAACGGAAGGAGAACGACTCATGTGTAGGAGGCTTCGTTGCACTCAGGCCCACATCACAAAAACTACTCTGGACCCTTGGAGTTCCTGGGCCTTGTTCATGAACAGCTCACGCAGAAAGTTAAGGAAAGAAAAAGACTCACAGACCCATCCATCAAAAAGAGCAGCCCCTCTGCAATCAGAGGCCTGGGCTTCAGGCCACTGCAAAGGAGGAAGAAGGGCTGACGCGGACAGAATCTGGAGGTTTATACATCCCCTTTCCACTAGTGTCGCCTGGAGAACGCTCTGCAGAGTCGTCATGTGCGTCTAAAGTTCTTGAGGCTGCAGGGGAGTCTCATGGCTATAGAGAGGTCTGGGGGCCGACATCACTGGGTCTGTGGGTCACACTCCCAGGAGAAGGCTGCTTCCCGAAGCTGAAGGTCCCTGGTAGCCCAGGAGTCTGTGCGGGTGGGTGGACTGTAGCGGGAGCTAGGAGAGCTCGAAGCCCGTGTTCATACTGATGGCGTAGCGCAGCTTCTCCCGGAGGACGCTCTTCTTGCTGTAGTTGGGCAGCTTGAGCAGGTTGAAGCAGGTGGAGGAGGTGGGCAGACGGCCACCTGGCTCCCGCTTGCGGATGGTGAAGAAGCCCCGGAGGACACTGCCCAGGGTGTCCCCAGTGTCCTGCAAGCACACACCACAGCCTTGTTGAGAGGCACCTGGGCTGGGCTGTGAGCGTGCACACCACTGCCTGAGGGCACCCCCAAACAGAGGACAGCTGGCCTTGAGAGGGGAGCGCACAGAAACAACCCCAGGGCCTCAGGTCCTACACAGGGGAACCTTTATGCACTCAGAAATGGGGCCTCTGGTTAACCGCTGATTATGGGTTAACCAATTTTAAAAAAGCAAGAATACTGTAAAAACACTTGAGGTACCAAAACATTTCTGAATGCAGCCTAACATTTCCTCCCTGCCCTCACCGGTGCTGTGGCCTGTGGCAGACTGTAACTTAGAGTGCCTTCTTTAATTAGGGGGTGCTGAGGATTGTCTAGCATGAGAGTGACGCGGAGCCCAGACTGCAGCATCCTAGAAAGCAGCTTTGCTCAGGCCACTGGGTTTTATGCCGGGGATGGGGGCCGGGGTGGGTGGGAGGTGAGATACTTTTCACAACAGCTGCTATTTGAGCACCCCCTACACAGAGCACAGCAACCCCTACGGCATTCACTTCCCCTTTACAGATGAGGAAAAGAAGCAGCTGGCCCGGATGCACACCGCTAACAGGCCAAGAAGTTGGCATTCATGTCTGAGCCTGTCTAATTCTTAAGCCCTCATCCTTACCCCTCTCCCACACTGCCTCTCAGACCAAAAGCTCCTAAAAATGCCCCCCAGGTGTTCTTCCCAGGCGAGAGCTGAGGCCCCAGCGCAGGCCGAGGCCGTGGCAGCCTCTGCGGGGCCAGCCTGGCCAGAGAGCTGCAGAACCTTCTCACCAGCTCTGGGGAGCCGAGCTGCTCACCCTGCAGCCATAGACTCAGGGAAAAGCCTACCTGGTGGGCGCAGCAGAACACAACCAAGAGGGACCGCCTCTTCCCCCAGCAGTGGTACCTGATCGTCTGACACTTCGACACAGCGGATGGAGAAAGGAGGCTTGAGGTAGGCGAATCCCAGGAGAGGGGGCCTGGAGCAGCTGGTCACAAACTGCAACACAAGGCAGGGTCGGGGAAGGAGTGGGGCTCACGCGCCCTCAGTGGCGGGCCCTGTACAGCCGGGCTGTGCTCTTTTGTTTCTCGACCCACTATATCATTAACTACTGCTCAGCTGGCAGGATGCGTGATAGAGGGTCTGCTTGGGCCAAGAACGGAACACATCCCACGTCTCTCTTCAGCATGCTGTTCTCTGGGGCTAAAACACATGAGATCCAAACCCACAGATAGGACTAGTCATTTGTGGGAGTCAACCCAGGGCTGGTGAGAATGTGTGGCTGAAGAGTTCAGGAACACAGACTCCCATCCAGGTGACTGAGCTCCAGTGGGACTGTCATGTAGGCAGCAAGAGTGACAGCTGCTGACTGACACCCTTCCTTAGAGACACACCTTGCAACGAGACACTGGGAGGAGAGGGTGAAGTGGAAGCCAGTGGTGCCCGCTAAATGTGGCACCAGAGCCTCAGGCCCTGGAGCTGGGGCACAGGGAGCCCTGGGGCGATCACACCACCAACCGCACTTGCTCGCTTTGCAACTGGCTTCCTGCTCAGCTTCTTAGCCACACAGGGGAGGCTGGGCAGGCGTGCCCACCTGTGTACTTTGTCCTGCTGGTTTGCAGAGCTGTCTCTGTGAGCTTGGCTTCTGGGGGCCCTTCTCTGACAGACTAATCTGCTCTTGGCACACTAACAAAAACCAGGCCTCAGGAGCCAGTGAGGCTCGGGGGCACACTGAGATACTGGGCGTCCAAATCGGGGCCTATGGGCGGCAGCCACTCTTCCCTGCTATACTTTTGGAAGTCCTTGCATATCCCAGAGGGCAGCACCTGTGCTATGTCCCCAGATGTGCTAGCTCACACCTGGACAGGGACATCTGAGCAGCCTGGAGATTCAAGTGATAAACTGGCATAAGAAGTCCTGAGAAACAATTCACTTTCTTTAATTGAACATTAGCCAAAAATGCTCTCCCTTTGCTAGGGATGGTAGGGACCTGCTACTTAAAACATCAACCTGTGCTTCAAAATTCCATGGCAAGTTGAGTGAGTGGGTCTTAAAATAAGGAGTACCATTTAAACAATGTTGTAAATGACTGTGAGATTCCTGAGATCATTCAAAGACAGTTGATGAGTACCATGCTTCAAAAGCAGTTTTTACAAAAAATATCAGCAAGATATATCGCTATTCTAATATATTCTATTTTCCAACATAAAAACCATAGCAGCAGTTTCTATTTAAAACGCACTGCTGAGTTTCCACTCTGTGAACCGACCTCATCTAACCACTCCGTGGATGCCGTGTGACGCCACCTGTTTTAAGGATGAGGACAAAGCAGAGTTCACATCCCGATTCGGGCTGCTGAGACCTGCTGCTGGCCAGGGCTGGTCAGAGGGCGGAGGGCTGCTTCACCCCCATGGGGTCACCCTCCTGGGACCAGAGGAAGGACAGGGGGCACTGGAAGCCTGCTGATGCTCTGCTATCATGATGTTTAAAAAAAGCAGTCACATCACTCCTGTGCGCCTGTTCTGCGTCCGCCACCGGGCTCTGGGGCCTGCCCACACCTGACGAGAAGGGCAGGCACACAGCAAAGAACTGCAGGTTTAGTGACAGGCTATCCAGAGACAGAATCACACCTGCTGTGGGGGGCCAGGGGCGTGTGGGTGTGAGATGCTGGCCTTCCTCTCTTTCTAGGACAGGCAGGGGTGACTAGTTAACATGGCGGCAGAGACTGTTTTGCCTACAAGGGGCACTGCTGGAAAAACTGGACCAATTCTCCTAGAGGTCAACTTCTGAATTTTGTCTGCCTGCCCGCCCGGCCTTCAGATCTGCACGGATGGCTGGTGCATGTCTGCATCTGTGGACTGGAGTGAGGGCCTCGATGGGAATGAACTCGCCTCAGAACGAGAAACCAAGGAAAAAGACAACCTGCTGCCATGGCTTTCTTGCCATGTTGCCTCAACAACTGAGATCACACGAGGCCATTCTAGAAACCCAAATGTCCAAAAGAAAGTATTTCGAGACACTTACGTTTACTACCAGAATATGATAAAATGTTCATGTAAGACATCAAATAGAAGAGCAGATGGGAAAGTGGTATGATTCCATTCTTATAAAAATACACACATGCCTAACACACACACAGACAAGTGTGTGTGTGTCACCCAGTGTCATATATGTCAATGTCAGGAACAAAAAACAACTTGAGGGCATCAGGGGCACATTTTGAACATTCACAACTTTAAAGACGCCGCTACAGGAGAACTGGTTAATGCAGCCACTCTACTTGCACATTTCACACTACTGAGAAAAAGGGTACACAGAGGTAGTCCCTGGTGAGCAGGAATGGAGACTGTTAGGCTTACTTGTCTGTATTTTCTTAAGGAAAGGTAATAAACACTGCTGACTTCTACCCTGAGAGTCACGGAATGACATGCTAGCAAGGCCAGCACAGGTGAGCGGGGAGATGGAATGCTGAGGCCAACATGTGAGCCTGCCCGTGCAGGCCTGTCTCTGCGGAGTGCTGCCCAGGGGCTCTCCTGCTCTAGGCCTCTGCCTCATCTCTAGCCCCTCTCTGGTTTCTGCTTGACCTACAGAGCTGACCCACTCATGGGAGAGGACATGCTGATTATGAGGTCCTCTGGATCATTTTTTTTTCCAGTGTAAATCATATCAACTGGCCTTCTAGGTTTATGAGAATATGTACAAATGAATACATGCATAGGTAATGTGTAAAATACCTTCAGAAACATAGCTCTCTCGTCAGGTGTGAAGTCGGAGGCCAGAATATCCCAGAGCCAGATAATGACCCTGTGACTTCCATGAAAACCACCGTAGTACACTGTGTGCTTCCTGAAAACAATCCAGACAGTGGGCTCAGCCACACATTCTGATGGGCACGAAATATGAGACATCAAATAGAAAAGCAGCTGGCAAAGTGGTATGATTCCATTTTTATTGCCTTTAGCAAGGCAGCACAGAGAACTCTGGTAGGTGTGGGTTAACTACTAACTTCTTCTAAAGCCAGAAGTCCATGCCTTAATAACCCCATGCCCCTGGAAGCTAAATGCGCAGGAAGTTCAAAAGCTGGCCCTGCTATTCCCAAGTGGAAGCTAATAGGAGATTTTGCAATACTGCTTCCTAGAACTTCCGAGTGCCCGGCAGTCTTCCATTTGCTTCCGCTTCTCAGCCTCTAGGCAGACAAGTGGTTGAGCTTTTATTCTAAAGCAATTTACCCAGTGATCAGGGAGGAGTACATCTGGAGATGGGCCCCTGAAAAATCCCTCCAAAGGGAACCCAGAAAGGGATCAGCTTGCTTTTCAGGAGGCCTGAGGTTCCACCGCCACCCCCCTTGCTTCTTACTTTAAATCTTCTAGATCAATCTCAGCATTGTCACCGGAGATGAGTCTCTGTAGCTCAGGGGTTGAGAACATCCGGGTCCACTCAGGCTTAATAATGGAGCGGAATCCACTAATGAGGGCAGCTGTTTGGTTTTTGATTTGAGTGTGCATTCGAAAATGTGCCATCAGATGGATGTAGCTAATTCTGTTGCCAACATGAGAAAACAGTGGAAATTAAAAGGACAGGGCAGGCTGTTACCAAAAGACTGAAAGATGAGTCCAGTCATTTCTGAACCATCTTACAAAAACTAACAGTATCAGAGCGTTTCACCGGAACAATGGTGATGCCAATGATGACAGCTCTCCTGAGTGGCACACTGTTGCCACTGTCGATGCCTTAAGCACTCAAGGGCATTACCTCATTATTTCTCCCCAAAAACCAGTAGGTAGGCCATACAACAGGATAACACTCCACTGTGTCAAGAATCAAAGTAAGACATTCTCCAGGTAGGTAGAGGACCTGTCTTAGTATAAAGGGTGCTTTTTGGACTTCTATTTAATTTCATCCTTTTGGACATAAACCAATTAAGATATAAATTCAGTGCTTCAATAAGCTTTAAAGCAGAGAAAAATTGTTTCATGTTGAAACTTCAATCAAAACCTTGCTAACCAAGAGTCTAGGCTGTGAAAAGGTAAGTGTTTAGGAAGTTTTACCCAGAGGCAGCTGGCTTACATTTAGGTTCTACTGGGAAGTCAGGGCGCTAACAACAGTTCCAAGCAGATGGTCTTCTGGGTCTGCTTTTATGAACACAATGACCTCATCTACAACTGTATAACGGAATACAATTCTTTTGAACAGGGTAAATACATTCTAATAGGCCTTCTAGCATCACCGATTTCTTAGCCAACCATTTACTCAGATGCCAGAAAATGAGGCCAGCCCAAATAAATGTTTTACTCCACAATTGCTCAGATCTAAGTTATTGACCTTGAAAATATCTGTATTAAAAAAAATTATCCGGCAGCAAACTTGCACACTGACATACCTTAAGTATGATGTCTTCTATTATTGCTGTTCCTTTTGTGCACTATTTGAAGCAGGTAACTAATACTGTTCCTCAAGAGAGAGGGGCTGTGGGAGGCTTTCCCACTGAACACCCAGCAAGTGCAGGATCATGTATCACCACCAAGGAGGGGAAACTGGCGCTGCCAAGCCTTTTAAGGTAAGTCTGCAGAACTGAGCACCTTTGCCCTTATACTGAGGTTTTGTGCTAAGAACACATGAGAGTTTGTGAAAGACTTTCCACAAAGGAGGTTTCCAGGGAACTTCACTCCAACACAGGCTGCATCGACCCTCTTCCTCTGGCTCATACACACAGCTCCTCCCACCACCCGCCTGCCATAATGCCTGGTAAAACGGGGCCAATTTGAGGGTGGTGGGCTCCATGTGACCTGTCACATATCCGATGACAGTAACAATCACTGCTGTCCTGTAAGGCCCTCCTTTGAGTCAGACATCCTGAAGGTGTTTTACATGTGTTATCTCCCGTGAAGCCCTCTGAACGCATGGCTACAGGGCACAGGGTGAGTAGGGTCAGGATGTACCTCTGCTCTGACGCCCTAGGCAGCTCCTCCCAACCTGTGCTCTCTATTCTCAGGTGCCAAACCAACGCCCCGAGGCCAAGCGGCAAAACTGGTGCATTTCAATCATAAGAATCGGGTCTGTTCTTCTGGCTAGACTAGCAGTCTAAATAAAAAGCTCCCTAAGCACACAGACTGACCAAACCACCCGACCAGAGAGGAACACAATGCTGGGGAATAGTGGGCTATAATATGCACTGGATCCACACGACTCACCACATGGGACTGAGCTCTCAGTTGTCATTGAAGAGAGTGATGTTCAGATTAACAGTTCAGATGCTCAGCTGAGCCTGGCCATAGGAGATTGACGGATTGACGAAAGGGCCAAGATCTACTCCTCCAGCCAGGTTCTACTGTTTTAATTTGGTAAGAAGAGGGCTGGGTAGAGACAGTACATTGAGGGGTTTTGCGTCTAGGGACCAAAGAGGTTGACATTTATGATAGATTCCTAAAAGCTTGTTATCTGTGACAATAGCTGCCAGGTCTCAGACTCTCCCCATGTCTAAGGACCTGTCTACTTTATTTGAATTCATCACTGTGTCTTCTCAAGAACGGTGTTTTGTACAACTGCCACATGCTATCATTCCAAAATGACCTGCCCCTCCAAGGTATCTTTCCGCCTCCGTGCCCTCTGGGTTCAGGACTGTGTGCTTGAATGGCTCAGAATCCATCTGTCTGCATCTACAGCCATCATTAAATTCCTAGGGACACTGTGACCTGGGTGCCTCTGACCTTAGAAGTGCTACCGCAAAAAATAAATTGTCAATTCTTATTTTGCAAATCGAATTTAATACGATTTTGGCCTTTGAACTGTAACCAGTAAATTCCATTATGATATTTATGGCCTCTTTCTACTTCAATTTATCTTAATAAATTCTCAAAGTAAGTCTAGAGAGCCAGAATGAAGTCCTTTCAAGTGGTGACCTTAAAAATCTAATTGCTATACTCACTTATTTTCATTTGTAACAGGAATGGTCTTCCCTCCAGGAATCAGTTCATGGCAAACAAGCTGGGTGAGAAGATGGGGAGCAATTATTTGAGAGAATTCCAATGGGCAAATAAAATTTTGATGCCAACATCTGTAATAACAACAGAACTAAGAAAGGACATATCTGGGAACATTTTCACAAAAAGCCAGGCCTTAAGTAACAACAAATAGACCCTGCGCAATCAATACGAAAGGTTTCTTCTCATCTGGTCCCCCGACATTTGTATTACGCCTTCGGGATGTCATGGAGGGGGATGTGTTAGCATGTACGAACACAGTGATCTGTTTACATAAATGCTGGTATAACCATACCCTTGGAATACTATGCAACTATTCAAAAGTAGGATGCAGATGTGTATTTATTGAAAAAGTGGGGGGGAAAGCAGATTATTATAAACAGCATGGTATGCTATTTCTGCAAAGAAGTGTGTGTGGACACCTAGGGAGAAAAGTCTGCAAGGACACGGGTCACATTAATACTGGTACTCTCCTGGAAACATCCTTGTAGGTGGTTTTCACTTTCATCTTTATGTTCATATTAGAGCTGAATTTTTGGTTAGGAGTTTGCATTTTTTTTTTTTTGTCAGGAGAGAAAATTAAGAATGTCAGGGGGCAGGCTCAAAATTTAATTAAAGATTTGAAAATGCTACAGAATCAACTGCTTTTCTCAACTCCAAGAACTGTGGGTCACCTGAAAATCAAAGAATGCCTAGTTTTAAAGCTAATTTTAATAAAAATTCTATCAATATAGTATGCTATCATTCTACAGATGTAGAGAGGAGAAACAGTGACCTCTAAACCCACTGCTGCCAACCCCTGGGGGCACCCTGAGGGATTTGAAGGCTGGAAGGACCTTTAGTAATCACCCAGCCTGGTGTTTCCCATGAAGGGCTCCAGCGAACACCGTGTCTATGAGCTCTCGCTTGCGGAATCACTCTGTGAGACAGCACTCTCTCTTCCTTTGGAAGAAGACTTCCACAGTCAAACGAGCTGGGGAAAGTTGAGGTTAATGCCACTACAGCAGGTTTCTATCTTGCAGGCTCCTCAGAGCCCTGGTATACCAGCATGCTCGGTGGGACAAGCAGGTGTTCACAGTGTCTGTGTCGCGGATCTCAGCAACGACTCCCTCAGCAAACGTTGCTTGTGTGAGCTAAGGAGTGTGGCTCCGGGAGACTGAGTGACCTCTCTGAGGAGACACAAGCAGGACTCCAAGAAGCCAGCTCTGCACATATGAACTCATGGCTTATTTCTCCAGAGCAGCCCTCAGAGCACGTGCAGAGGCTCACTCAGGTCACGGGGGTGTAACTGGAGGGGGCTGAGGGCACTTTAGAGAAAAGCTGGACAGAAAGCTCTGGGAGAAAACCCCTCTGCCACCATGACTTCAGGGGCCTTTTCTTCCTGCTCTGCCCTCCATGGCAAGCATGAACACGGACGGGATTCTGTCAGAGGCTCTTCTTTCCAAGTGGCTTCGTCCCCCTCTTTAAGTCACAATCCTCCCCGTGTAACCGCTAATCTTCACCATGGCAACAAAAAGCCATGTTACAAACGGGGAATTACAGCTTCCATCAGGAATGACCCAATGTGCCATCTAAGCAAAGCAGGGTCTCTGGGGGGAGCTGCCTGAGGGGAAAGCAGGCCAAGGCCAGGTCAACTGGGAATGAAGTAGGAACGCCCTCCCTCCTAGATATGAGGAGGAGGAAGGGCAAGGGAGACCATGGACTAGAGGACACAGCCTCAGTGTGTGGCCCTCCTAGGGAAAACAAAGAGTAGGGCAGGTCTCAGGAAGACAACGGAGGAAGGGAAGAGAGCTCGGCCAGAGGCTCACCTACCTGACCCATGACATCCTCATCATATGACAGCGTCAGGCCCAGGTCAGCAATGTCCCCATCGTAGCGCTAATGCGACAGAGAGGGGAAAAGTGTTGGTACTAAGAAGCGCCAATGTCCTTGAAGGCTTTAACACCTCCCCTTGGTGGGCAGTAACTACTGTGGCTGCACTACAGCTTGAAACCAACAGAAAGGCCCCTCATCACTTCAAGGAAGGAGGCTGTGTCAGGCCTGAAAGGAAGTGCTTAGAAGGGGACATGGGGCCTGCGGTGACTACCAGGTGGGTCCCTTTGCCACAGCAGAACATCTCAGTCCACCACACGATGATGAGGTAAAGTTGAGCCTTATGGGGCCGCACTTCACTGACTTCACACCAGCACCCAGCACCCAGCATGGCCCATCTGACATTCCACAGACCTTAATGGAGGTGAGGTTTTTATAGAACTCGGAGTCCAGGGAAGGAAGTTCGTCCACAGAGCTGTAGAAGATACTGTGGTGGTGCCCAAGCAGCTGGCTCAGGAAGAAGGATGCAAAAGGCACATCTACAACAATTCCCTGGGAGAGAAGAGAGACAAGCTTGCCGTCTGCCACCAGGATTCCCTCTTAGGGATCCATCAGGGGTGGCACTGACTGCAGAGTGGGGCTCTGACGACACCAGTGGCATCTCTAGGCACCTCCTACACTTCAGTCTGAGGAGCAATACCTCCCCATCATTTAACAAACACAATCAAGGGCCTCCTGGGGACACAACAGCAGAGTGGTGAAGGACACAGGCGCTGCAGCTGCACAGTTGCGGGATCAAATCCCAGCTCCATGGCTGCCAGGCCATGGGACATCAGCTTTCTCCTCTGTAAATGGGGACTGGCACAGCCCCCCAGTTTTAGGATTGAACAGGCAGGTTGCAGAGGAGCACAGAGGAAAGGCTCTCTCCTGGAGGCAGGGCGGGAGGCGGTATTTAAGCTAGCCCTAAAGGGGCGCAAGGCCCACAGGCCTGCTGTAGGGCTAGAACACAGCCCAGTGTGTGAAGAAGGGAAGGTGAGTGATGCAGCCAGAGGCGGCAGAGCCTGGCCAGGATGGGCCTCATAAGCCCCCAGGGGTCTGAATTCTACCCCAGGGGCAGCAGGGAGCCCTGAGGAGGCGCTAGGCAGGGAAGCGCCAGGTTTGTACTTTATGTAGGAAATGGACGGGAGGAGGAAAACAGGAGGCAGGGATACAGGCAGGAAGCCCTCATGAAATGCCAGGGAGAACCACTGACAGACTCCAGGTGGAGAGATTTAGAAGGGACAATCACACTCAATGAGGGCCTGTCACAGAGGTCACGGGGTGAGTGAGGTGAAGCGTGCTGCTCCTCACACAGGGCCCGCACCTCCTGGTTTCTGTCATCTGTACTTTACTGTAGGAGAGGGAGCAGAGACTGGGCCCAGGAATGGGGGAGGATGTTCACAGAAGCCAGGAGGTCATGCTTTTCATTGGCCCAGGCTCTTCTGGGTCTCATCACAACTGCATGTTTAAAGGGAAAACATGGCACGTGCCCACGCAGGTTCTCAGGGATTCTTTTTACAACAGGGATCAACTGAGAAATTGTTTCCATTTTCCAGACATGGGAACAGAAACATAAAGAATGAGCCCAGCGCCAACCAGTCTGGGGCAGGAGGGCAGAAGGGTGCTTAGGCAGGGCCCCACTGGGGCACCTGACTTCCTCATGGCCAGGACTCAGCCTGTGGCCAGGGGCTGCTTACCAGAAAGAATGATGGATTATTCAGGAGTCAAGGATGTTCTCCCGTCCCCTTTATTGCCCCTTTTTGCTGTGGTCTGGAACCAAACTGCGAAGTCTCTGAGGTGTGCCTGTCCTTCTAACATTTTATTTTCCGTTGCAGTTGAACACTTCCTAATGTGCCTACCTCATACACAGCCTTCCCCAGCATCTTGCCCACAAACTCAAAGAGCTGCAGGTAATTCTCATGAATGTAGGATGTGGGCGAAGGGTAGAGTCTCTCGTCCCCACTGGTTGTCTGCAAGACAAAAGGATGGATAGACGCAGAGAGGTTAAATGCCTTGTCATGAGCAAGACCAGACTTTCACTTCTCATTTGTCACCTCAAATTTGGCTGCTGTCAACCCCACTCTAGCTCTCCTTAAATACCTTGAATAGGTTGAGTGCTGGGTCGAACACCCTCTTGATGATCTCTTCCAAGAACTCCTTGAAAACGCCATCTTGATCAATCCCGGCCTCGTCCACCCCGAGGTCATTGACAAACTTCACACGGATCACGCCCTTCATGGCGTGCTGGGAGAGCTGCCGAAGCTGCTCATAGCCATCCTGCCAAGGGCAGAATCACAGTCCATCAGGAACCCAAGGCTTTCTGCATAATCCAGGGCTTCTCTTCAAGGCTCCTTTCCCCCTGAACAAATTTTCTTTCTCAGTGTAATTAGTATATGTGCAAATTAGGATGCCTGGGTGCATGAGAAGAACAGTTCTCACCTGCTTTTAGATGAGAGTCTGTTAAAAGGAGATTTCATTTTTGGGGATGTGACTGTGGCAAGAGGAGACTGCCCTCAAGACGATGCAGAGCAGGACAGGGAAACAGGGCGAGCCATGACACGCTCTCGCCGTCAGACAAAGGAAGGGAGGCATCGGGGCAAATCTCACTCTATTTTAATGCCAAGAGTATCTTTTAGCTCATGGTAAAATCAATCAAGCAATCAGTCAAACTCACAGCCTGCTATAAGATGGAAAGTAAAAGTAACTTCCAGCCTTCAACTCCTGGATGTTCCCCTAGAACATGAAAGGCCTTGTGAGTCATGCTAAGAAATTTACGTTATATTCTGAAGGCAATACGGAGTTTAAACACAGAAGAGTTTAGGCAGAGAGTGACATGGCTGGCTTTGTCTTAAAAAGGTCCTTCTATTGGTAGCAAAGCAGATGGATGGCAGGGCACAAAGGAAACAAATTAACAGGGGTGCAGGAATGATGCTGGGCCTGGACGAAGCCAGGAGCAGTGGGAGGAAGAAACCTGAGCCTACCTCTGGCTTGCAGTCAGCTCTCCCACGACACACAGCCATTCCACATGTCTCCCCTATCCAGAACTCCGGGTCACAACTTCAGAGTTCTACTAAGTCATCTTGTTTAGTTTGTCTTTTGATTCTAATCTGTCAAGTTCTTCCTGGCTCCTGATTCTGTCATCAAATGTATTCCTGCCATGTGGGCACTGATAAGCAAGCTGCTTAGGTTTTCATTTCAGAGCAGTGATTGTAAAAAAGTGTTGAATAGGACAGGGCCCAGGGAAGAGTCTTTTGGTCCAACATGAGAGGCCCCACCATTAGGGTGAAACCGGTGTCTTTAGATTCTATCATGTAAGCTGCAAATGAACTGCAACACCCTCCTGAGGCCAGCCCACACGGCTCCATCTCAGCCACACCTGCAGTGCTGTCAGACGTTTTGCTAACAGGAGACAGGTTGTCTCCATAGCATCCACTCGTCTGCCAGTCTGGGTCTTTGTTACAAGGCAAATGAGGACAGTATGGCGAGACCTGTTTTGGGGAGCCTTGCTGCCTTCCTGCCAATCACATTTCCCTTGTGTTCACCTAGTGAACCGAAGGACTGTTGGATGGTGGCTCCCAATCCTATCAGGTGTTAGGCATGGGAAACATTTCCTCTGAATGTCCCCTGAGTCACCCGAAGGAACAGTCTCATGGTTTTGGGTGCACAGTCCTGAAAAGTACTTTTTATGTACATGAAGTTTGGAAACTATTATGCTAGATGGAAAAAAAAAAAGGAAAAACAGGAAGTCACCATGCAGCTGCTGCAGTATTTAAACCATTCTGCCTAAACTTAGGATAATTATATTGGCACTGAGTCAGGGATGGGTGGAGAATTCCAATGTGTTCCTGCTTGCCTGCAGGATTTCTTCCATTCTGCTTTAAAATGATGGCTTCCTAACCTTAATACACGTTAGTAGGTATCTTAGTGGTAAGAGGACTAAACGAGCTGGCAATTTTGAAAGCCCAGCACATGGCAGGTGCTCAGGGAATATTTGCTGAAGCAATTTTCTTGGCTAGTTCTACATTAGCCTCCTCTTTGAAAAGTTGTAGACTGGGATTTTCCACCTGCCACCTCTGACATCATTCCTGCTGCATGCCACTACCCCTTGGGCACCCTGTTGTGTGAGGATCATTTCTGTGCCCTTTGGGCAGGTGACTGGGAATAGGGCATGGCTCTTCTCTACTGCCTCTCAAGGAGCAGTAGACCTGGGGACAGGAGAGCTGGTTCCCAGACCCAGCTCTGCCACAGACCCGCGAGTGACCTTGACTGAGAAGCTAACGTCTCTGGCCTCAGTTCTGCCTTTGACAGGGCAGGGGGGAAGGGCTGGACAAGAGTATGTCTAAGGTTCCTTCAGTTGTGCCCTGCTGGAGTTCCAGCCCCAGTGCGCCCTCCGTGAGGGGGAGCCTCCTGCAGGACTTCAGACCTGGAACCCTAAAATAGAAGCACTGCCTTCAATACAAACCATAAAGAGGAAACAGAATAAAAGCCCAGGAGGTCATGCGTCTAATACCATCTTTTGATGCCCCCTTGTGCCCAAATCAAGCAAAGGCTGCTGGGCTCTCATGTTCTAATAAACAAACCACCAGATCAGGAGAACAACTGCGGGAACTAGAGAAATGAGCCTCTCCCCTTCCAAATTCAGTGAGAACACAGTGACCGATTTCATGACAAGATACACTCTAATGGAATGTAAAGAGGAAAATGGACTTTGCCTGAAATCTAAGGCAGATATCCTCCTTTGACATTCCCGAGGGATGTGTTTTAAAAAGCAAGCCCAGGACAACCAGATGTCAAGTGAGTTTCCTGTAAGCGATGACACCTGAGAAGAGAGTCAAGGACTCTGTCACTCTCAGGGGGCACCCCAGTCTCTGCTACCCCAGACTTCTCGTTGGTGCTGGCCATGTCTGAGTGGGTATGATGGGCAATGGGACTGAGGACTTCAAGGGACAGGAGAGGTGAGTCACGTATGATGCACCAAGTGCTGGGAAAGGGAGTTTCTACAACACAGTTGAGCTTTTTCTTTGAGTCAAAGCAAAGGTGGCAAACTGGTGGCCCACAGGTTGAATTCACTGGAAAGACGGGTGTTACCTGACCTTTCCAGTACTTTACAAACGTTCGTTAGTTCACAACATGAAGGATCTGGGGATTTCACATAACACCCTGAATTTTGGCCTTCTCTTAAAATACCAGTGCATTCTGGGGCCCAATTCTGCACACAACAGAAGTCAGGTGGAGCTGAGTGGAGGTGGCTTCTTTTGGGGTACATGTGTTCTCCACCTGCCTACCCCCCTCTACTGCTCCTTAGCACTGAGGCTGGATGTCAGCTGTCATTTGTCAACTCACTTCTGGAGTTTGTTTGTTTTCTTTGAGTTACCTACATTGAAGGCTCTGTTGCAAGAAAAATAAGAGAGCAGTGGAAGTGCAGAATATTTCTATTTTTTAGCATGCAAACAAGATGCTCCTGCGCTGAGACACACTCAGCCAGCTTTACCCATTTCCGTGATCTACAGGATCCCTGTAGGCACTTACATTTCTTATTCCCACATTTAAGAAAGTAAAAAACATCATCTGTTCACCACATGTGCCTCCCCAGCAGAACTCAGTGTCAATCACCAGTCAGAGGAACCTTTTAAACGAAGTTCTCCAGGAAAGAGAGTGAATACCCCGAAGGAGAAAATGAAAACATGTGAGGAGGAAGGGCTGCTGTCATTGCTATTTGTTGGTGGCTGGCTGTGTGGCCATGTCCTGCCCTCGGATCCCATGACTGCCCTAAACTGCTGAGTAGCTAATGAGAAACTATGGTGGGAGTCTGATAAAAGGTCCAGAGAGCAAGCGTGGGCAACTAACTCAAGCAAAGCCTCTCCTGGGAAAGGGCATGTGGGGCTCAGTCACCAACTCCACCACTAGCAAGACCAGCACATATGGGCAGGCGGTGCACTGCAGAGCCCTGGGGGAGAGTGTGGCATGGACAATGCAGTCATGGCAGGCTTGTATAGTTACCCCAATGTTTTCAGCAGATGGCAGTCGGGGTCTTGTTCCAACAAAATTAATATATTATGACAATTTTCTGACATATGGAGGTAAAGTGTTCTGAGGACAGGCACCTATTTCTAACTCACACGAAGTCATCATATAGTGGTAACCCTGGACATGGGATTTGGCTAAGTGGCCCACTTCACTTGTACCCCTAAGTTCTGTCTACAAAGAACTTCTGGCTCTGTGATAAATGCATTTCTCAGTATGGCTCAGTCAACTTAACACCTCCAGTCCAGTGCCCACGCTGATGGCTGAGAGTCTGGGAACAGTGCCCATCAGGACAAATGGGGTTCACACAGACAGGAGAATGTCTGCCCTCATTTCAAAGGGGCATGAAGTGCTTGCAGCTCCAGCCCAGGGTCTCTCACGGGGAAAAGGAAGGGAAACACTGCACTCTGCGTCCCCAGCACTGAGGACACATTTAATCAAGCAGCTCTTCAGAGAACACACAATAGGGCAAATGGCCCTGTTCCTGCTCCCAGAGCCTTGATTTCTGCGTCATTAGATGGAGGAGTGATAAGACCAAATCCTACTGTTCATTGAAAACCCTACATTTCACAGAGCACACACCTCTTTGTGAAAGGCTCCTCACCTCCAACATCCGGGACCGTCGGATAGTAATGTGAGTGACGTGAGGGGAGGCCGAGCTGGTTTCCACAAGCCCCAGTTTCTCCTTCTCCTTGGTAACCATGTTTCGGAACAGGAGAACTCTCTGAAATCAATGAAGGTGAGAGCAGAAACAGGGTCAGCAACTGATGATTCCCTCAAACGTACTGTATAAAATTAGTGAAATTTAAGTCACATGAGAAGCAAACAAACTGGGAACTTTGGTAAGAGTTATAGGTTAGAAGTGTCTTCTGGGAATAGTAAACATTCCTAAAAACAATCTTGCGAATTAGAAATACAGCTTAGTACCTGTCAAGGAAGAAAAGTTCCAGAAAGAGTGGTCTGGCTGAACCCAGGGTCCAGCTAAGAATAGTCTGGGAGAAAAATCATTCTCCTCATTCAGTCAATAATCCATTGTAAAAACCTGGCAGCCAGACAAGTTAGAGGCTGCTTTATATAGCTGTGCCTGCTTTAAAGGAAATCAATATTATGAATTTAAAAAACAGAAACATTTCAAAGATAATTTTTTTCAGTGTCAGAAAAATTTTAAATGATCCCATGGAATAAAGGTCCTTGACCTTTTATCTGCCTCCTCTGTGCCCTCAAGCACACGGTAGTCCCACCAGCAATACTTCTCAATTACTGTTTGAAAAGAACCTTCTCTCCCCATTCTCAAGATTCTGGGCAGCCCCTTCAGGAGAGCTGACAGGCCTCCCCGCTTCCTGGGTGTGAGGAGCACCGCCCTAACTGTGCTTCCTCATGTCCGTGAATGAGGAAATCCAACCACGGCTACCTTTTTAAAAAATGGGAATCTCCCCAAAGTCAAGAGTTTTGTTAAACAGAAATAAGAACAGTCCTACCAGCAATAGCCTGTGTGGGGCCATGTGACACGAATGTTTGTGACCCCAAATCTTTGGCATGATTGCCTGAACAAGGGTGTCACTTAGTGGAACAAAAGGCAGACAAAGCACTTCACGTCTGGGTTATTCTACAATGGGGCAGAGAAAACATACACAGAAGCAAACGTTGGGGGTGAGCATGAGAATGCCGGCCCCTCAAGAACTAAGGGAAGCCTCGATGGGGCACTGGATCTCCATGTGGTGTCGAAGGTGTGGGGCAACCGTGAGGAGCCCTCCAGGGGCTGGGAGACCTCAGCAACCACAGCAGACACCTGGGTAGGATCATTACCCCCACTTTGCAAATGAAGAAACTGACTCACCCAAGGTCACACAGCTGGTGGGCACATTCAAACCCAGAGCCCATGTGCAGACCACCACACCACACAGCACTGTGCACCCAATGGGGAGCTAGCCTTCTGGCCAAAACAAGAGAGAAAGAGAGAGAGAGGCCTTATGTCCCCATGGGGAGCCAAGCTGCACATAAATGTGTAGAAACAACATAAGAGACTGCAGAGAATGAGGCGCTGTGTGTGTGACCCGGGCAGAGTGGAGGCCTATAAATATGTTAAGGCAAGCAAGACAGGCATTGTAATCACCCACTCAAGTGAGATCAAGAACAAGGGAGAGGGTCAGCCGTCGGGGCAGATACCATAGAGTTAACAGATGAAAGGCAGGAAGCGGGCCTGGAGAGATCTACTGCCCTCCTGTGGGCCCCAGCAAGAAGATCTCGGTGGCGGAGGGCAGCCCACGCCCCACTGGGCGGGAAGTGAAGGTGGAGACTGAGGGAACACAGTACCCTCCAGGCCTGCTGGCACCATCACAGGGAGGGCAGGGCCTGGGAGGTAAGGAAAGACCCCATTTTCCCAAGGGAGGGAAAGATTTCATGAGCCACAGACAGCCTTGATGGCAATCTTACACAAAATTCCCAAACAATAACAACAAAAAAAATGCTGAGGATCAGAATACAGCCTGGACTTACAAGTCATGCCAACTGATGTCAGAGGTTCCTTCTTGCTCACAGCACCCCTAGTGGATGGCTCAGTAATTACGTTTGCACGGCATTTCTGGGGCACAAGAAATACTTAACAATTCTATTTACTAGGTAGTCAGGCTCCTAACAACTTAAAAAATATTTATGTGCTAAGAATTTAGTAGTGGTATTTAAAAATACACATACATTAAAATAGAAAATATTTTAATTTCATTTTTCAAATGCAGCTTAACAAATATGTTGAAACTGTGAGCTCGAGCTAGTACTTCACAGTGTCCAACAGATTTCACTGTTTCCCTCAAAAACCTAGGCACCCCAGGGCACCTCAGCACCCCATCTGTGAGCTGCAGATACACAGACATTCCAGACTCTGATACGGGAATGCTACGGTCCGGGGCTCTATTCAGGCACATGGTCCAGGACGAGGTGCTGTGTTGGAAGTCAGACTCCACCAAACTGGTCTAGGCCCAGGAGATGAAGGACTGGAAGCCACTTCTACAGGGAGTAGTTGCAGAAAGGAAGGATGCTGCCCTTGGAAAACAGAAGATTCAAAAGGCAAACAAGAGCTGTCTGAGAACCTCAGAAGATTTAGAGATTCCACTTTTAGTGGTTGTTGAAGGACCAAAGGGTAGAAGTTATTGAGAAGCATTTCAACTTAAGATGGGGAAGAATGTGCCATCACTGGAGAGTGTAAAGCAATAGGATGGCCTGCTTTGCAAAGCTGCGCCTTCTCTACCTGAGGCAAGGTCAGGCATATTATTGAAGGGGCTCCTTCATGGAGGCCATGTTTGACTAAGTAATCTCCACAAGGGTCTTCATTTCTGAGAGCCTTTGCTGTCAAGTGCAATAACAACGTAAACAACTGTTTGTGAATCACTGCTTGAGGGTAGAGAATAGCAACCATAAGTATTAACGTCAAGGTCAAAACAGTATGGGGAGCAGTGAGGAGTAAGTATCCATGAGAAGTGAGATTTAGTTCACAAAAATGTGACGTATGTTTTTAAAAAAGATCCACTTTGTCAAAAAAAGAGAAAGGAAAGGAAAGGAAACACAGAGCCCCTTCCAAAGGAGCACAGCAGTGTCCCTGCACCAGCAGACATGTCTGAGGTGCTCACTACACACCAGGGCGTGAGCAGCACCTTCCCTCACTTCCTGGAGGCTCCTGACAAGTACCTGACCACGCACCTCATGTCCTCGGGTCTGATGCCACCCTCTGCTGGTTTTCTTCCTCTGATGACACCTTCTCTCCTTGTGCTGGCCCTTTAAGGAAGGCCCTGCAGGGCTCTGGCCTCTGTCCCCTGGTCTTACCTCTTGTGAGTCCCTGACCTCCTAGTCCATGTCCATGAGCACAGTTAGACAATCTGGGTGCTGCCCACGTGTGGAGTCTCTCTCCAGCCCAGTCCTCTCGGCTGAGCTCCAGAGCCCTGTGTCCAGTGGCCTTGGGGAGTCACAGACACCCCACATGCTACCCGCCTGAAGCCGACCTCAGCGTTTCCCAGACCCGCTCTCGCTTGTTCTCCTACCTCAGGGAATGCCTCTCCCAAGCACCCAGGTGCCAAGCCAGAAAACTGAGCATCATCTGAATCCTTCCTTTCCTTCTCCTCTGAGAGCCATCATTCTCTAAGGCCTGTAGGTGCTACCTCGTTAAAAAAAAACCTCTCAACTTCATCGTCTTTCTGCTCCTGTAGCCCCACCCAAGTCCAGGCCCTTGATTTACAAGATCCTTCTTGTTCCAGCTGCTACAAACTTCAGCTTCTTTCCTCCCTCCTCTATGTTCTCTCCAGTCAGACTGCACATCTGGCTCTTCAATCACACCACAGTCTCTCCCACCTCAGGCCTTAACACTGTCCACTTCTGCCTCCGAAGCCTCATTCCCAGCTGTGTCAGGTCCCTTGTCTGGGCTCCCACAGCATCCATCCTCCCCACCCCCACCAAGATTTGCCAGCTCATACTGCCTTCAACCTTCATATTGCTAACTGCTGTAAGGAAGATGGAAAGTCAGGAGCTACATGGTACAGCAGAAAGATGTACTAGGAGCCCAGCTCTGAGCACAACTCACGTTTTTGTGAGGAATGACATGAGGGAGGTACTGCAGGATCAGCTGTGCCCGTTTCCTGTCCTTGTCGAGTTCTTGGAAGAGCACACTAGGTTTGAGATCCCTTAGGAAGACAGACATGGGTTTGGGATCGTTAAAACAAGAAAGTTGTGCTCTGGTGCTGGGCTGGCAAACCAGAGCCTGTGGCCCAAATCCAGCCTGCTGCTAGGTTTTGAAAATAAAGTTTTAATGGAACACAACCACACTCATTCATTATATATTGTCTACAGCTGATCTCATCCTACAGTAGCAGACTTGAGCAGCTGTGACAGGGATTATCTGGTCTGCAAAGCCTAAAATATTTACTGTCTAGCCCATTACAGAAAAAGTTTGCCAGTTCTTGCACTAGAATTACATAAGAGTTGACATGTCATTGATAAAAAAAAATTCAGACATGATCTTCTGTTATTTATTGCAAGAGGAATTCCACCACACACCCCCAAAAAACCTAGTTTTTATACTAAATCTTTTAACAAAAACTTCCATTTAGCTATCATATCCTGTTGCTCAAATCAGCTCAAAGAACTTTTTTTTCCAGTTTGGATAAGAAACATTTGCTAAATGGGATCTGGCTGTGTCGCCATGACTAAGCTCTAGCCCTCTTCAGGGTGAGCCCGGCTGCCAGGTGACCTGTCCTAACAGGAGCTTCACGGGAACAGCAGCCCTCCTAATGCAGACCAGGGATGAAGGAGAGGAGCACACAGTGCTCTCTCACACCCGGGCAACTCAGCAGCGTGATGGAAGGGACTCTGGCTCCGCGGACCCCCTTTCCCACCCTGGCCCTCACTTTCGCAGCCAGTGGTCCTCGGGGGCGAAGCGCCGCCGGCAGTCCCGCTCATACAGCACCATCAGCCACCCATGGACGGACTGGAACAGCTCCAAGGTCTCGCCCTTGGCATTCTCTGTGGGGTAAACAAACGAGGAGTCACCTTCACAGGTCGGACGAGGACTGGCGAAAGCAGGGAGGACAGCCTCTGCCTCCTCCGGTCATCATCCAGTCCCACCAAGACTTCCTCTCCCTCACTCTGTTTTACATGGAACCAGTGGAATTAAGAGGCACTCTGGGTGTGTCCTAAGTGTCTGCAGGACCCAAGGATCTTTAAGACACAATCATTCCCACTCATCCCACTACTAAGTCATCAGAGTACAAAGCCCTTTTTAATCTAAGGGCTTTGTACTGAACAACTGGAAACACTTCAGAAGGTGAACGCTAATTTGAATGTGACTTGGCACTTATCTTATTTTCATGGAAATCAACTCAGATAATAAAAAAAGATTCAGGGAAAAGTTAATCACCATTAATAATCCTTCACATGTGCATGTAAATCCTGAAGGCCACCAGGGAGAGAACTTCCATAACCACACTATTAAAGTGGTCATGAGTAGAGAGTGAAGAAAAAAAAACTTCCAATTAGGTGAATAGATACACATTTTCAGTTAACTTTGATAATAAAGCTAAGAATCAGTTGCTGTCACAGACGGTGTCCTCCCCGTGAATAGCAATTAAAACAATGGCTGACATCTTTACCTTACCTACGATTCCATCCCAGATCATCTTAAACACAAAGGAATTCAGAAAAGAGGAGATGGTGACCAGCTCTTCCAGTTTGAATGAAATTTGTTCTTCATAAACTTCAATATCATCAAGAATCCTACATCAGACAGAAAATTATTCATAATTTCCCACTGAGGAATGGAGAAAAAAATGAGATCTGTACCTCTTAGTAGATATAAAAAGGTTAAGAAACAAGCTCTATCTTTTAGATAAAATTTACAGATAAAATGATGTGACATCAAGGACTTGCTTCAAAATAACCTGGGAGAGGAGAGTGGGGAGGCGGGGTGTAGATGAAGGAAAACTGGCCATGAGTTGGTAACTGCTGAAGCCGGTGATGGGCATGAGGGTTTATCACACTATTCTACTTCCTGTTTATTTGAAATTGTCCACAGTAAAAAGTTAAAAAGCACCGTTGAGAAAGATGATAATAAGTTCTACTCTACACTTTTCTTTTTCTTAAGAATCTGACTGCTACATTTTCTTAATTTATGCCTGAATTCATGCTTTATTCATACCTAAGTATCAAGGAATCTTGACTGAGAGTCTGTATCCACTGAAGAAAGTCATGGAAGCTTATTCTGCATCAATGACAGACCCTAGTGGCACTTGGAAGGTACCTGAGAAGTACTTATAAGTGAATGATTAAATATCTGAAAAAAGATATAAATAAATGGACCATTTAAGATAGAGCTCAATCATAAAACTTCCTAAAACTGTTCACTTTCTTCAGAGTTGTTCTCGGGTCCCCCTTGACCCAGCAATTCAGGGTGCCTTCACCAGCCCTACAGACCCCTGCTCTCACCTCCAAATATTCACCGAGCCCCTTCCTCAATTTGCTACCTACATGTCCCTGACCCCTCCTGTCCATGTCTTCTGTCCTAAAGATAGTACCTTAGGTCCACTCTATCTTATAATTCTTCACCAAACTTTTGAGAAAACATGGAATTTAAAGAATATTAATATACAAGTAGATAAATAACCTTAAAAAACAAAGGAACTGAATGGAATGAACATTTGTTAATTTCTCCCTCTGTGCCAGGCACTGTACTAAGTACTTGACATTCCTTTCCTTATTTACTCCCTATCAGATGGGTAATATTATCACCATTCCAGTAACGAGGAAACTGAGGCTCAGAGAGGTTAAGCAACTTGCCCAGGGTCAGCTTGGCAGTAACTGCCAACACCTACCGAATGCTCCCTCTGCGCCAGAACTGTGCTAAGCACTTTGTATGCGGTATCTTGTCTAATCCCTACACACGGCCAAGGACAGGTGCTGTTATTCCCACCCACAGACAAGGCTCAGGCAGAGCCCCTTGCCCTCTTGCCCACGGTGTCTCAGTGAGTGGTTGACCCAGGATTTGGACCCTGGCTTTCTGGCTCTGGAATCTTCCAGTTAACTACTAGCACAGCGAGTAAATGGCCAGTGTATGATTTGAACCTAGCTCCAGGAGACCCCCAAAGCCCACCCTCCGTCAAACTGACCCAGTTCTCCTGGAAGGATAGGAACAACTGCTTAACCCCAACTATATGCCACCCACTCTGTAAATGTTTTCTTCTCTAATTCTTCTAATGCCTCTGGCACATAGGTCTGAACACTTGCAGTAATTCCATCAGCAACTGCTTCTTGCTGACGTTGTAATTTGGTCTCCGCATTCTAGCAAAGGAATTCAGCCCAACAGCGTCAACCTACGTGATAAGGTGCCGGGAACAGTCACAGAACAGCATCAGCATGGCCAAGAGCTGCTTGGACTCTTCAGTGTCATTGTTGAGGCATTCCAAGAAGAGCTTTAACCCTCCGTGGGGCCCCAGCTCACAGATAAACGCCCACAGTTTGGGCAGCAGGTCATCAAGGTAAGTGAGACCTGGAAAATGATAGAGAAACCCAAGCTTCAGGAGGGGGCTCCATCTGGTCCATTATTTCTCCTATCCATCTGGAAAACAAAACACTGAAACCTGCTAGTGGACATTTAATGTGTGTGAGAGAAAGAAGGTGCAATTATTAAGAAAACCATGATCACCATAAGAATAATAATGGCTAACATTTAATGGGTGCTTTTCTGTGTTCCAGATACCATTCCAAGTACTTTGCATGTATTATCTCCTTCCCACCTTATGAAATCCACCGTTCTCTCCACTTTATAAGGGAAAAAACTGATGTGCAGAGAGGTTAAGTAATTGGTCCCAAATCACAAAGCCAATAAGTGTCAAAGCCAAGAACAGAAACCCAATCTGTGTGACTTAGTGTTTATGTTTTAAATCAGGGATCAGCGATTTTTTTCTGGAAAGGACCTAAGAATAAATATTTTTAGGCTTTATGTGCCTGACACTGTCACAACTACCAAATGCTACCCTCTTAGCATGAAAGTAGTCATAAATACTTAAATGAATGAATGTGGCTGTGTTCCAACAAAACTTTATTTACAAAACCAAGTGGTGGTGTGGCCCACAGGCTGTAGTTTGCTAACCCTGTTTTAAACATCTTGCAGGCTCACCCACATTAGCAAAGCTTTCCTCTCATCTACTTCTATTATTCTATCTCTGTGAAAAACAGAAAAGCAGTGAATGACTGTGGCAGAGATACTCTGAAGGGTTATACAAAAGTTTAACCTTGGGTGAAACAGGGTATCTTAAGTAGGCCTCCTGATGGCTATGAGGCCTCAGACACACAGGCTACATTACCATTATATTTTAAGTCTAATGACTTAGAAAGTCTGCCTCTGAAGTTCCATGTGTCATGAATATATAGTAAGGTGTGTCTTCCAATTATTCCTCATATTTTAGCTTACATTTGAGTTCTTCTACTATCTCTCATTTTATAGGACACTCTGAATTACTTAACTTGGAGCAAAGAACTGTTTGGGGAAGATAGATTAGCCTGGGGCAGGAGCGGAGATAGGACAGCAGACTCAATCAACTATGGATGCTTAGAGGGTGAGCTGAAGGAACTGTAAAGGAGACCAATGTAATGCCCATTTAGTCATTATCCCGAAAGGTATGACCCCACAGATTCGAGGCTGGCAGGATGTGATTAGAAAATGCAGAAAGCTCACAATTTAAGAGTAGTTAAAAATAAAAGAACAAGTAGTTATATTGTGGCAATCACAGATAAACTCTCACTGAACAAAGGAAAGCCACTACCTTCACATTCTGTGGACGGGCATCAGAGTGTGGATGGAGATACTCATTTAAGCATCCTACATGGATTTAAGGGGGGCTGCACTGGGGCAACTTAGACAGAAGGGAGCCAAAAACTTCTTTTTGGATTCTCTCATTAGGACAAGGGAGGGGGGAATGCGTAAATTTGTGGTCCCCTTAAAAAAATGAACATAAGCCATAACCTCAAAATTATCTCACTCAATGTGCTTCGAAAACCCTCACCTTGAGTACTAGGGTGCCCCTTCTCTTCCCCTTCTGCACTTTCCTGGGGAATGTGCCCTAAGCCCAGGACTTACATACCATCCCCTTACTCATGAGTACACGCATCAGCCTGCAAGTCTGGCAGGCACCTTACACTCACCACAGCCAAACAGAATTCTCCACCTCCCAACCCCAGATGGTCATCCCCAGCTCAGCAAATGTCAGCACACATCTGGCATTATTTCTGAAACTTTAGTTTTCACTCCCACAAATCCAATCTACGAGTAAGACCTGTAGACACAACCTCTAAAACATATCAGAACTCCTCCCGCTTCTATGCCCATCACTGCACCAGTCCAGTGGTTCTCAAACAGGGGTGATTTTGCCCCCTAGGGACATTTGGCAACATTTAGAGACATATGTGGTTGTCACAACTCCGGGAAAGGTGCTCCTGGCATCTGCGGGGCTGTGAAACACCTTGCAATGCATAGACAGCTTCCACAATGAATTATCTGGCCTAGAATGTCAACAATGCTGAGGCTGCAGCACCTGCTCTAGTCCAAGCCATCACTGCCCCTCATTATTTCCCTTGTTACAGGGCCCATCATTACATTAAATATATGTTTCCCTTGCTTATGACTGGTCTCCCCACCCCTAGAATATAATCCTTTTGGGAACAGCCACCTCGGCTGTCTTATCCACCTCTGTATCCTCAGTGCCTCGCATACATAGGTGCTCTATAAATGATTGAAGATGAATAAATAAATGGGAAAGAGAGAAGAAATGGCAATTTAGGATCTTTAAAAAATGTGAAAGGTTCAGAGATGACAGGTAGTGACTCCATAGCATCTTACTATGCTGATGGACAGTGACTACATTGGGGTGTTGGCGGGGGGACTTGATAATAACCATAATGTTGCTCATGTGAAACCTTCGTAAGATTGTATATCAACAATACCTTAATAAAAAAATGTGAAAGGCAACAAAGAAGTTACTCCTTTGTGTAGTAAACAGCTTTATGGCTTATATACCTGTCCTCTTAATACCACTTCACACTAACAACTCCTGCTCCGCAACTTAGAGCCCCTGACGCCAGAGTTTTGTGATCAGAGGCGCTTTCACCCTTGCTCAGCTAAAAATGAAAATGGCAGGCATATCCATGTGGTGAGTTATCATGCAACCAATAAAAATGAGGTTTCTGAGGAGTTTTTAACAGGATGAAATGCTTCTAAAGTGATTAATGGAAAGGGAAGGGTAAAACTGTATATTTCAATCTAAATATATACACACACACACACACACACACACACACTCAGGCACAGGTGGTTTTCTGTGGATTGTGGGATTAAGAGGCCTGGGATTAGTTTGAGCTACCTAACTGAGGTGTGCCAACCTCTAAGAAGCACAACTCAAAAACACCCTTCTTCAAAATCTACTCTCTGAGTCAAGGAAGCCAGAAGAAAATCAACTTTTTCTAAGAAAAACTGTCTGCCAAATGTGAAAGATGGAAGAACACTCAGGCTCCAAACCTGTGAGTATCTGCAGCCGGATCTGGGTTAGAGTTGTCAGCGAGGTCTGGTAGAGAACACAGATGTTGCAAACTTTCTGCACCTCCGCAGAGTCAACACGTTTACCCCCAACAGGCCTGAGTATATTCCGAACTGATGCAGACTTCTGAAACGCACGCTTTAGGAGATCTGGTGTGGAGAGAAGAAAGTGTGAGCAGAAGTTCAGCCATCTGCCAGATTCCACCCTGCAAAGAGCATTTTAATAAAGCTCCAATTTACAGTCAGAACCAGACAGTGGGACTTCTGCTTTGATTCAAGTCAAGATGATTCTAAGTCATCTCTTTGGGATAACTTAGAAAAGCATGAAAAATAGGTTTTTAGGGGAATCCAAAGACTTCTTCGAAATATCAAAAAATTACTCAGAAGCAGCTAGTCATATTCAAGTCTCACAGGGCAGTCTTTTGCTGTACCACTTAACTTCGGAACCCACAAAGGTAAAAATTCCAAGGACTGTATTAGGGGAAGAGGGGAAAAGGTGGGGGCCTGGATGATTCCCAATTTTCTGTGCTTTTAGAGGGAAGCAGGGGTTGCCAACCTCTGGTACTGATAATTCGGTTTGGTTTATACTCAGCCTGAGATTTAGACCTTCCCATTTATATCCTGCTGAAGTTACACTGAGCCTGTGATCACTAACGGCTATAAGACAGAGCTTTGCAACATACTAGGTGGCAGAAGAAAAGCCCCTCTGACCTGGAAATCTGCCATGGGCAGGTAACTCCATGAAGTATGTACTAGGGGCATTTCCTTAACCTTTATCAGAGTAAGCAACAAGGACCTTTCTGTGGGACCTATGACTAACTCTGCAATAGGGACACTGCTGAGGTGGTAGCTGGGCAGTGACCCAGTGTCCCCTATATAAGAAGCCCCATCTGGGAGATTTCTTTTATGATTAGGAACTCAGAAAAAGCTCTACTTCCCCTAAAGGAGTAGGTCTCCATCCATCTTCCCATTAATGAGGAATATGACAAGGTCAACAAATCCCTTTTCCTTCTGGCTACTAGAAATTCAGAGCCAAATGAAGTTCAGAGATGACCAGAGCAGGCCTCATCTATCTGCAGACGTTCTTCCCTATACATGACCTTGATCTTGTTCACCTATTTATATTTCCCTGTGCTTGTTTTCTATTCCTGAGGATTTCCTGTTTTGGTAAATGTAAGCTTGACTTAAATAGTCTTAACATCTTCATGGGAGAAGTCAGAGTATCACACAAACAGAGAGGAGATAGCACATGAACAACCAGGAGCTGCACTTGGGCCAAGCAGAGCCACGGGGGTCAGGCCTGTTCCAGTCACTCACTCTTCATGGGAAGCACGTTCTGCGGGGGTGCTGGCTGCACGGGGGCTGGCTCCTGGTTCTCTAGCAGCTTCTTGCTCAGGATGTCACTGAAGAAGATTCGGATCAGAGGCACCCCCCAGAGGAACTGCAGCTGTCTGGTGACCAAGGGCATTGACTCATTAAGGCTGGGAGAGAGTGAGAGAGCAGGCATGTCAGTTCTTCCTGATGGATGCCTAGAGAAGGCCCACTCAGCTCCCTAATGGCCTTCCATGTGGAGGGGTAGCTAGGGCCTGCCACTCAGCATGGTAAATACAATGATATAAAAGGAAAGTGGGATCCATAAATTGCCATGAAGGGTCTAGATGTGTAAGGCATTGACCTCCTTATCTTTTCTGTCGCTCCACCCAGGATTCCTGTGTGTCCAACACCATTGCTGCTCTCCCCAGGTCCCCAGGCCCGCACATGTCCGTCACCTCCCACACACTCTCTATCTGTTCTTCATCCTAATTCTATCTCATTTACTACCTGGTGGACAAAAGCTATCTGATGTATGCTGTGCTGCCCTCTTCTTCACAGCCAGCCTGCAGGCCTGACCCACAGATCTTGACTCACAAGCCTCCTGTGAGTCCCCCTGCCTTCGGGTGCTCCTTTCTCCACTCCACGCTGCACCCCCAGCGTCAGACTCACACTCCTGAGACCCGCTTGAGACACCGTAAAGGCTGCCGTCTTCCAGCATCACCGTGGTAACAGCCCCTTTACATACATGGTCTCATTCAGTCCTATGAGACAACCCTGTCAGAGGCACTGCAACAATTATCCCCAAGTTTCAGGTGAGGGAAGTGGGGTAAAGCGACTTGTCCAAGGCCCCTTGGAGGAGCACGGGAGCTGAGACCAGGCTGCCCACTGTTGTGCTCCCTGCTCTACCCGCCTCCCAGCATCCCTCCCGTTCTGCTCTCCTCGGGCTAGGGTGTCACACTGGGGCAGGTCATCAGCTGGCAGTCTTTTTCACTGGATGTCACTCAGGTAGGAGGAAAAGGGAGAAAATCCGGGGACTGCATTCCCTGGCCCTGACTTTCTTGCTTCAAGGGCAGCTGGCAAGGATGTCCCCCGGGTTCCAGGCAGATGCCTGAACAGGAAAACAGCTGGGCTCCACAGCCGCCTGAGCTCCCATACCTCCTTCCTCTCAGCCCAGGCACATGTTTTGTTTTCAAACTTGTGCTGCCACCTTACTTAGATCTCTCTTCTAGCCTGTGTTTTTAATATTTTCAAGTTTGTAATTTAAATTTTTTATGTTCCACCTCTTAAAAAGGATCTGAGGAAACTTACTAGTCCCTTTAAATCATATTTTATTTTAGTATCTCCAAAATATGGCAATCTAGGTGATCACCAAAAATGACAGTGATGAAGATAATATTAATGGATAGTGTTCAGAATTTACTGAATGAGAATGAAATACAAAATGTGATTTCATTTTTGTGAAAAAAATGATTGATATTTACAATTAAGGAAAAGACCAAAAGGATGCTCACGCAGGTTGTCTTTATGTACTAGCATTATGGGGTAGGTTTTATTTTCTTTAGACCTTATCTATATTTTATACAATGAATATATATTATTTTTGCAATAAAACAACAGGAATTGGAAAAAGAAAGAGCGGGGAGATGGTGGGAGGAGACAAGAAAGACAGCGATTTGCCCTGGGACTCACCCATAGTCCACGGGTTGGGAGAACCAGCCAAGGACAGGGTGCCAGTGCGTCAGGTTGGATTTCTTCTGGGACACATACTTCTGACAGTAGCCCAGCATCTGGGTGAGCAAACCCACAAACCCATCCGTCTCCTCCTCCAACATGCTGGGGCGGAGGGAGCCCAAGTGCAGGAGGTTGCCTACAAAGAGAGAAGGCTGAGCGCGCGGGCCCGGGCAGGCACGCTTTGCCACTTCTCAGCGCCGCCCTCTGCCTGTGGCTCAAGCAGATACATCTATGTGCAGGAAGAAATTCCACGCAGAGAAGCACCTGTCAGTGCCATCAGTGTAGAGCAGGGCTAAGAAACAGGCCGACCTGGCTTCAGATCCTAGCTCTGCCACAGATGAGATATGTGACCCTCAGCCCATCTCTACAATCTGTTTCCTCATCTGTAAGAATGGAATAGTGATCCTCATTCTTGATGTGAGGATTATATGAAGTAACATGTAAAATGTCCAGCACACAGGGGTATTAGGTATTTAGTTAGTATAACACTTTAATATTTTAACACTAGGATTTTAAAATCAAGGGTTCACATAAGAAATGACCTTTTGAAGAATATCTGAATGTCCGGGGAAATCACTGTTATTCAATGTTCACCAGTTATTTAATATGGCTGTGTGAGGACTCTTAATATACACTTAAAATTAGGCCCAAGAACCTTCTTCTTTGTGAGATAAATTTCTTATTAGGCAATGAGAATTATGTATCACTGCTGTTCTCAAATGCTTCTATCCACAAACCCTTTCTTCATCTACAATGAAAATGTTGTTAAACATATGATGCAGGTCCTACTCTGAGCTAAGCTCCACTCAGCACACCTCCCTTCTCTATTGAAATGGGAATTACCAGGGCAATTCATCACACTTTCATTTTTCCCTTAGCTGCCAGGAAGCTAAGGACTGAAATTTCACATTCATTTACAGTCACTCAACTAGTTTGCCAGGTTGATATATTTGCCATGTAATTTTCAATTTTACACGTCTATTTTAACTGTCCATCTGATTACATGTCTCACTGTGAGAGTTTCCAACTGTTACTAAAAAAAGCTCGTGCTCTCCAGAGTGGTGAAAAACAAAACACCTGGGCTTTTCCTGCTGCCCAGCACACAGTCAGATCCCAGCAATAGATACTTACCCATCAGACAAAGCGTATGGCATCCTTCTAAACTTTCACAAACGTCACGGCATCGAGCTTCATCTCTTAAAAATGTGATGAATTTACGAAGCATGTCATGAGATTCTAAAACAGTGAGACGCTGCAAACAATTGCAGACCATTAAAGTGGAAACTGACAGGAAGCATTCCTGCTAGAACATGAACTTCATCACCTGCTGTTCACCCGCTGGCTGGGAAATGTGTTACCAATCGCCAAGAAGACAATGAACATAAACGAAAACCTGTTTCTTTGGGCTACTAACATGAGTGTCTGCAGTGGCTACTGAGAAAAAATATGAGAAGAGGTGGAAATTAACACAGAAAACATTTTACTTTCTAATTTCTAAGAAGAAAAGCAAAAATGGACCTGGGGGTAATTCACGGAACCCACTTACCTCAGGGGTTACGATGCTGAGATGAGTCACAAGAGCAGGCACAGACATGATGTGGATGAGGAATGGACGAATCAGATTGTCTGAAAACTGTGCAGCAATCACAGGTCTAGAGACAGACAGATCACCTTATTCAGATAGGTTTGCATGTGAACCGGGAGTGGAAGAACAACCCTACCAATGCCTCAAATCCCTTGAAATGATGCTTCACAGGACTTCTAGGAAAACTAATGGCTGGAAATGGGGACATTCACTATGGGAGTGGTTGAGTCAAGGACATTACACTTATATGATGCAGCTATGAAAAATCAGTTCTGAAGTTTTACTAACATGAGAAAATACTCTTGTTACAGCAAACTTAAAAAAGCAGAATAAGAAATTACATACATGGGAAAGGAAGGAGGGGGTAGTGACTGGGGGAGAGAAAAAGTGGGGCTTCTAGAGTGGTGGTACTGTTCTAGTTCTCAATGGGGATGGTGCTTACCCAGGTGTGTTTACTATGTGGTATAACTCGCCAATAACTCATACTGCAATTACACAATTACTACAAATATATTATGATGTTAATATAAATATGTATATATAAACACATAATTATAAAAGTATAAAAAAGACCAGGAAGACAAGTAGAAAAAATGTTAATATATCTCTGGTTGTAGAATCCTGAGAAACATTTTTTCTATCTTATATTTTTGTTTTATCCAGATGTCTACAAAAAGCATGTATTACTTCCACAATGAGAAAGAGAGATAAACATCATTAAAGATAATGACCCCTACCTCATACCATATAAAAAAATAGCTCAAAATGGATCACAGACCTAAATGCTGGGTTTATAATTAAAACTACAAAACTCTTACAGGAAAATACAAGAGTAAATCTTTGGGTTAGGCAGTGATTCTTAGATATGACACCAAAATCACAATTAAAATTTAAAAGTTTGTGCTTCAAAAGACACCATCAAGAATGTGAAAAGACAACCCACAGAATGAGAGGAAATATTTGAAAAGGGGCTTTTATTCAGATCAAGAATGCATACAACTCAATAATAAAGGATGAATAACCCAATTGAAAAATGGGCAAAGAATCTAAATAGACATTTCTCCAAAGAAAGATACACAAATGGTTAACAAACACACGACAAGATGGTTAAGATAATTAGCTATCAGGGAATTGCAAATCACACAGGCACACAGGGAGCGACAGAAAGCAGGACCAGCAGTACCTGCACATGGGCAAAAACAGCCCAGATAGTAAATGCAGGGTGAGTTTGGGAAGGTTCCCATGTGCTACTAATTCAAGAAATATATATTGTTCTTAGAACATAAAAATGTGCCCAATATGGGAGGCAAGTATAAAGAATAAGGAAGAAAGAGTATGGGCTCCAGACTCAGACAGCCTGGGTTTAATTCCTGGCCCTGCCACTCCCTGCTGTGTGATCAAGGGCAAGTGATTCAACCTCTCTGAGCCTTCCTTCCTCATCTATAACATGGAGATAAGAGAATGTGGTGGTGAGTCAGTTAATGTGAGTGTAAGTCTTAAAACAACATGCAGCCCATCAATATTAACTATTTGTATTATAGGAGTTGGTGATCCTGTCTAAATACATCATTTACAATTTTGCAGACTATAAGTAATACATCCCTGTAGAACAAAAACCACTGAATACCTTCTTTTTAAAAAAGTTCCTGGTCATGTTCATGTTCATTTACATACAAATATTCAGAGGAGGTAAAAGTTACACTCTAAGAAAAAGGCTTCAGAGCAGTCCAGCTTTGAGTGAGTCAATGGATTCTAACATATATAGAGAAAAAACCTAAAATGACAGGTACTATTGTATTCTTAAAGGAAGAGAAATGTGGTGGATGATAAGATGAGACCCTCTGAATACACTGTGTGTTACACCCACGTCGGGGCAGGGAGGGATGCTGCAGCTGAAAGACAGATGGATTTGTGTTCTCAGGACACAGAGGAGGAGGCGGGCTGCCTGAGTCCCAGCGCTCAGGCATCTGGTGCTGACCTTCACAGCCTCCAAGGGAGGAGGAGAGCCAGCGATGCTGCTGAGTGAGCTGCCCCAGAAGGGGACTTGGGAAAGGGAGTCGCAGTAAACCTGCTGCAAGGAAAACCTGTTTGTACCTAGGAGCTATAACTTGCTAACTACAACTCTTTGTAACTCCTTCCAAAGTACAAAACGAAGGTATCGTTGGCTACTAAAACATTCGCTACCTTAGCATAACTGGTTGAATCCTGTTATGAGAATCATTCCTCTGGTATGAGGGTGTAGCCTCTAGAGGTGTTCAGTCCAGTCTAGTAGCCACCGGCTGGGTGTGGCTCCTGAGCACTTAAAATGTGGCTAGTCCAAATTCAGACATGCTCTAAGTGTAAAATATACACCAGTTTTTGAAGATTCAGTGTGAAAGGAAAAATGATAAACTACTTTTAATTAAAATAATTTAAAAATATTGATTATGTGTAGAAATAGTATTCTTGATAAACTTATTTAAATACATTGTTAAACATAATCTCCCCTCCCTTTTGTCCTTTTTAATTAAATATGGTTCTCATTACGTTTCTCCTGGGCAATGCTGCTCTAGACCAGCCTTGTCCAACAGACCTTCCTGTGATGATGGAAATGCACATGTTTATGCAGTCCTACATGGTTGTCACTAGTCAATGTGGCCTCTGAGCACTTGAAATGTGGCTAATGAAACCAAGGAACTGAATTCTTCATTTTAATAAATTTCTATTTAAACAGTCCCATGCAGTTAGTGGTTAGTGGAAAGCACAGTCTAGACCAGGGATTGTAAACTATGGCTCACAAATTCCACCCACTGCCTATTTTTGTAAATAAAATTTTATTGGACACAGCCATTCTCGTTTGTGTTATGCATTACCTATGGCCTATTTTTGTAAGTTTTATTGAACACAGCCATTCTCATTGGTGTATGTATTGTCTATGGCCGCTTTGAGCTACAATGGCAGAGCAGTTGTGACAGATGCTGCAGGGTCCACAGAACCGAAAGTATTTACTAGCTGGCCCTTCACAGAAAAAGTTTGTTAAATGATGTTCTAGACTATCATTTTCCAAGTTGCTGTTCCGTGGAAAAGAATCCATGGGATATTAATAGAAATGCTCTGCCATCCAAGACTTGGGCGAGGGTACCCAATATTCAGATACGGTTTGGGCCTTGCTACCGTGGCACTCGTCAGAGCTCTAGGCAGGCGGGCGCTCTGTGGACGAGCAGGAAGGAGCAGAGCGGGCAGCCCGCCAGCTGGTCGGACCAGGATGCTCCTTAACTGAGTTATCATCTGGGGAGTTAGATCATCAGGTTATCTTGTTAACATCTCTCCAAATTAGTGTTGTTCTCAACAATTTTAGAATGTTCTATACTCGTTAGCAAGCACAGTGTTTCACATGGCAGTTCTCAGAATCACAGGTATAATTTCTACAAGGAAATGTTTAGCTGCTTATGTATTTCACATCTCCGAACTAAGTGAAGGCAAACATCACATCTTGCTGGTCCTCCAAAATTCTAACACTTTAAACCCATGTTTACAACACTATTGCCTTCACCCTTTTACCCTGTCCTTTGCTGGGTCTCCCCCAGCTCTTAGCGTTTCCTATATATTATCAGTTAAAAGCTCAAAAGGAAAAATGATTATCTTGGCACCTGGCAGAATGAAAGCAATTCACTTCGAATAGCTTCCTTCAAATCATGATGCAAAAACATTCAGGGGCACTGATGGAGGACTAAGAAAAGGAGCAGTCACGGCTTTGTCACTTCCCCCAACAAATTCTGATAACGTAGGAAGCCCAGACCTAACAAGAGACAAGAAAAGCAGGAGGGGGAAGCCCTCAGAAGCATGCCAACCCCTCAGCTATGGTTTCCTACTTACCGCAGTGCTAAAGAAAAGGCTGCAGTTAAAGTGCCTTTGGACAGACAAGGCCGGGGTCTTGCCAGGCCACGGTTTAACAGTATCTGAAAGAGAACATTTTAACTGGTGAGGGGACAATGCCAACTTTGTGTTCATTTTTCATGAAAAAATGCATAAAAGTAAAACTAGTAATTCAGGTAACAAAATTTTTTGTAAAAAGGAAGGGACAGAAAAGAAATAGGTATGGAGGTCCATTATACCACTCTCTACCTTAAATATTATGTTTAAAACTTTTAAGTACTAGTTAAGAAAGTTAACAGTCAATAAAAAGACTTAAGATGTCAAGACACTATTCTTTTAGCAGCAGTTCAGAGTCCTGGTGTCAAGTAGATGCTTTCTCACTGAAAGCAACTGTTGACAACACCATCTTTGGCCATCACACCACCACACGGGGTTATTGTGAGGAGAACATGAAACCCACTCGGAAGGAGCCTGTCTCAGCTCGGGCCAGAAGGAAGGGCTAAATCAGTGTTCCTTCTCAAACTCAGGAATTTCAAAGTACTTTTAAACAGAGATTGGATTTCTGACAATTCCCTGGATATAAGAGCGGGCACAATAAGGCACAGTGTGGACAGAAAGCTGTTCAGAGACACAGAGGCAGAAAGAGAATTTCAGACTCTAACCAAGAAGGACCCTGAGGGAACAAGGCCTGAGGCCTTCTTCCTGACTTTAAATTTCAAGTGGCTGGATTATCCCTGTAACCAAAAATGTAGTGTAATAAAGGGACCCCTGTGCCACTGTTCTCCCTGCACAAACCACAGTGATTCAAGGCCAGGGGCCAAGCAAGGAGAGGATGCTAGGCATTCAGCAATTCCCACAGAAAGTGTTTATGTGGGGTAGGAACTAGATATGCTGAAACCACATGTAAGAATCCTAGTTCAGGTATTGGAGAAAGAGGTCACATATTAGGGGATGGGGTCACAGACCTGCAGCACAGAATAAAATCCATGCTGGTTGAGATGTCCCATTATGTTTGCACAAATGTGGTTCATGGCCGGTCGAAGACTCTCACCTAAACAAAGACAAAGGTGTGAGAAAAAAAAAATCTCTGGCCATAATGTGGGACAGAAAATCATGCCCCAGGCCCAAGGCCAACAAACAAGGAGACTTTCTCAGGTTCACCTCCTACTCGCCTCAGGTCTGGAGCCAGAATACAGGGGGACGCCGCATCTCCTGAGTTCCCTCTCTCCGGGAAGGCCAGCTCATGTGTGACCTCTTAGGAGGTGGGTCCCATCATTTCCCCAACCAGGAGGGCCCAGCCTCCAAGCTCCTGGAGTACTTATTCTAATTCCCTTGGAGGGCCTGGTACGTTCCCCTCTCTGTGGCTGCCTCCTCTCTCCACTGGGTTACAAGGTCCCTGGAAAGGCTCAGAAATCACTTTTAAATCTCCCTGGAGCCCAGGATGCCTTGAAGTAAACACTTTGTCCTGGCCTGGAGCCCAGGCAAATGCTGTTTCCTCTGCTTTCGGTTTTGTCTCTCCCCTTCACTCTGTGAACTCTGACTCTCTCTCCAGCTTGTAGCTCAGACCCTGCTTGTTTTGGAAAGCCTGAGCCCCAAGAAGAGCAAGGCCAGCCTCCCTGACCCCACAAAATGCCATCTTTCTCTTGTACTCTTCCTTCCGAGTACCACTTATCACACTATTGTCATGACATATATGTGTTCTCATGTTTGCTATTCATGCATATGTACCTATTTATTACTCATATAAATTCACATATACATATGCTTCTCTTTAATGTCTGTCTCCCCCCTAGTTCTGTGACAAAGCACAGGCACACAGCAGCAGTTCAGCACCAAGGGCTCCTAGCAGGCTGTGGACTTTTCTGTATCTCCAGTGCCTGCACAGTATCTGGCACATAGTAGGCTATTTGTTGCATGGATGAATGACGTGACTATATGGAACATGTATGGTTAAGTACAATATTCAGGGAAGGAGGCAGCTTTACAATGCAGATTTTATGGGCAGAATATAGTTATTTGCTGCCAAATGATTCTCCCAATGAAATGACAAGGCCCAAACGAATAGCATCACTTGGAGGCTGAGGTACTGTGGGAATTATAAAAAAGGAGATCAGAGGGACTGTGCCTTTAAGCATGAATTCCAAGAAAGAACACAGTATAACACACAATCCTGAACATACTCTGGGTACTACAATGCAACCTGATGGGAGTGCCAGGGCACCTTCACTGCGTGGTTTCAGGGCCCTTCCTGAGGTTTGTGGCGACAGAAATGCTACTTAAGCAGGCAGAAAGGTCCCCAGGCTCTCTATGAAATGCTACTTAGGAGAGAGTTGGAAACAAATCCCACACACCTTTTCCCCGGTGAATTTTCCATGTTGAAGTGTCCGTGAAGGTGACAAGCATCGTGAGGTACAGTGTGACAAGTCTGGAGTCTTGTAGAATTTCAGGCTAGAAACCATAAAGAGAGGCTGGTTAGGACACATGCCCTCCAGCCCCGGAGAGTGCAGCAACCACTTCACAGCTTTTCAGGATACACTAAGGCTCAAATAAGTGAGTTGGGATTATAAGTGAGTCTTTACTCCTTTTCTCTTGGGGAATGACCACTCTAGGAGTTACACGTCAGGGGATTTTGCACATCAGCGGTTGGCCATGGAATCTGAAATACTCTTGGGAATGGTGAGCTGAGAATTCTTGGGGAACAGATGCTGGGGCTGGCTTGCTGTTTGTATGGACTTACATGTGCACACAGGTACTTATGTGCGTGCACCAGAGCAAGAGGGTAGGAGGGCCACTGAGCATAACAGGGACTTCGGCTCAGACTTCTGGCTTTATCCTTACTAGCTGTGTGATCTTGGGTAGGTTTCTTAACCTCTCTGAGTTTCCTTATCCACTAATGAGATAGCAACCCTGGTTTTCTCAAAGGGCTGTTGTGAGAAATAAATAGGTTAATGTGTTTAAAGCACTGAAAATTGTCCTTGGCACACAGATAATAACCCCATGTAATATTGGCTGTTATTGTAAACATGGTGGTCATGTATGCTTGCTGCCTGGCCAAGGCCAAGAGCCACTCAAAGCCCCTCAAGAGAAATGGCTTGGGATGGATCACCATGGGCTCTGGGGGCATTTGCCCCATTGTGCAGTTGCAACCTAAGTCCCTGCCAAGCCTCTGCCCTAAAACTTTCCCTCCCTACATGCAAAGCGGAAATAGCTGCTGTTTGTATTCACTCACACTCCTGTCCACCATCCCTCCTGCCATGGTTGTGACCAGCTGATGGTGGACACCAGGATCCCGCTGGGTTTTTATAAGTCTTCCCAGATTTTTGAACTGGTGGGGGAGTCCTCTCTTTTCTCTTTGGCCAAGACAGAATAAGGATGAGAGGCCAGAACTGCTGGCACCATGATTATAGCCGGACAGGACAAGGTGACTCCAAAGGAAGCAGAGATAAAAGAAAGGAACAAGAGGGAGATTCCAGAAGGCCCTGTCTTGGCCACCCCCAGCCGCCATGTTACAGATACATTCAATGACGAAATACCCTCCTTCTTCCCTAGCTTGTATTTATCACTAGCTGCACTCATGGTGGGTTTCTGCACCTGTAACAAGAGGCCGGATTAGTATAATGATATACACTACAAAGTGTGAAAGGAGGAAGGCTACAGATATCCCAGCATTAAGACTATGGTAAGTGCAGGTCAATGTTCAAAATACTGTATATGAGAGAAGTGCCCGTACTGGTAACTGTAGCTAACTCACTCTCTTCTAGAACAGGGGTCCCAATAATTCTTTATTAGACTCTGACTGACAGATCTCCAAAGGTTTAACCTATGAGGGAATCATGAGGACTCTGAAAATATATTCTAAAGGCCTCATATGGGAAATATTTATTTTTTTGTTTGTTGTTTGTTTTTTACCTTGAGCTGCTCAAGAAACTCACAGCAGTGCCACAGAATGTCTTTGATTTGTTTAATCCACAGGAGAGTGAGATCCTTGGACAGAGCCAAGGACACATACCACACCTACAGGCAGGAAAAAGAGAAACGTGATGGGCTACTACAGGGGTGGGATTATATACGTTCTAGATATGGAGCAGGACCGACCAGCTAAGCCCAGTGCCCGATAAGGCAGTGGGGATGAATGGGTGAGTAAGCAGCAACAGGACTTATTTTAACACTAAACCCGAAGATAAAATAGCCTAGCAAGGGAATTTACCATCCTAACAGGCAAGAGAGAACATGGCTCCTTAGATGAGGAGAGACTAAGGAAGTGTTGTGCTCTGCTATTGTTTTGACCCATTACTTATTCACACGTGCGTCTGAACATATGCAAAGTCGTAACATTCAACAGGACCTTCAGAGCCAAACAGGCTGGCCAGGAAGCTTGCGTGAGACTTTCCCACCCCACTTACCTTGGGTTCATTCTCAGCATCCATGCTGCTCAGGATGCAGCGACACAACTTCTCAAATCTCTGCAAAGAGGCAGAATGGGGGTCATAAATTCCCACCGCTGATACAGACATGGGAAAGAGGCGATGCTCCGTGGGCACCTGGCACACGCAGGCATTATGCCAGATGACTCACATACGTGATCATTTTTAATTCCGTCTTAGAGGTGTGGAAACTGATGATCAGAAAGGCTAAAGAAAGGCTCTCAAACTGGTAGCCCACAGGCTCGGTGAGCCCTATGCACATGCTTTAGATGGGGTCTCCTTCTGACACTAATAGCTGTCTCCTAAATCACTCCTTTTGCCGCTTTGTAAGCACAATGGATACTGAGCTTTACCTCACTTTCAAGATCATCTTTTTTATCTTGAAATGCAAAAAGGAAGAAAAGTGGTATAACTGGAAACCAGGTTACACTCGGATTATACCAACCCTGGATCCATCTGCAACAGAGGTGTGACCCTGGGCAGCCGCCCTGGCACACTGAGCTGCAGTTTCCTCCTCTGTGAATGGGGCTCACCTCACTGCACCCGCCTATCTCCACCTATGTGACTCTGCGTTCACGGTCAGATATTCCTCCCTCTCCTGCTGGTTTACAGGCACCACGAGGGTAGAGACCTTGCCCACCTGGTTTCCTTCCACGGCCCCCTTGCCTAAAAGAGGGTCTGGCACAATGTGAAGGTTAGCAGTAATGAATGCCTACCCACTGGTTATACAGGGACAAGCCTCAACGGTATCATTAGTACTATTACAGAGAACTACCTTCTCCCCTGGAATTGTATTTGCTGTGCTGGTCCTTCTAACCTTGAAGGCTCAACCAGCATGTTTTGTTTGACATGCAGAATTTAAGAGAAATTTCAAATGAGCTACCAATTTTTACAAATCAGAGAACTGAATATAAAGATCCCTAGCACCTCTTTAAAAATCAGTGTGATCTGCCCACCACTGGCTGGAGCCAAGCAGCAGCTGCCCCTTCTGGAAGGCCATGCCCCAGACCCATCACTCCCTCAGATGTCTTTACTGCCAGTTACCATCTATGTGACTTGTATTACGTTTCATCTCAGAAATGGCTCCTTTCAAATGACTTCTTTGTCTAACCTGCCTGGCTCCTGCAGGCACCTGAGACCATGCACTTACAACAGTCAAGATGAAAACTAGCACGATGCTTCGCAGAAACACTGAACATAATCCCTACAAAATGTGTCCCAAGGAAACGAACAGTAAATACACAAAAATATAAATCCCAAAGGGGTGGCATGTGGGCTAACAGGACTGATCTCACAGAGTTGCTGTGACTAAATGAGTTCATATTTATAAAATCTGTATCAAAAGACCTGGTGGATAGTGAGCATGACATATGTTTACTATTGTTATTTTACCTCATTATCCTCTTTAATTCTGAACAAGAATAGCAGTTTCCTGGCAACCTTGAAAATACAAAGTGCGCTTCTTTTACTGGGCCCAGAGTCATCTGTTCTAAAAAACTCATCGATCTCTCTCCTAGGGAGGGAAGGGTAAAAAAAGAGATTTTTAATTGAAGTTCACAACAGCTTGAAGGCTTCTCAAGAACCGTGAGAGAAAAACCTTTTCTTGCTATTAGATGGAAGCAAGGAAAAATGTGCTGAGTCCCTGGCACCCACCTGATCTCTCTGTGCAGTCGACTCCGACAGAGAAAACTCCGTACATGGGCCTGAATCTCAACGGCTGCCCGCTCCCGCTCCTTCTGCACAAGCCTTTCCTCTCGAGCCTGACGGGCTCTATCAATGAACCATGCTCTCGAGGTCTGAGAAGCAGTGAACATGTTTGCAAACATGCACAAGCCCTGCAAGGCAAAAGGCAAAAGGCTGGTGCAGGTTATTATATGAAAAACCAGCACAGAATAGGACTCATGGGCAAAGGGCAGGCAGGGATGGGCAGCAGAGCTACTCAGGACCCTCCAGCGCCCTTCAAAAGGTTAATCGCTCTCCTGGCACAAGTCCCAACTTCCTATCGGCTCCTTTCATGCAGCTCACCAAGACCAGTGGTGCTTTTTCCTGTATTAAATAATTGCATTTCTAAGAGACAGCACAGTGTCTGGCATAGGGCACAGGTTCTGTAATCATTTAACAAATGAACAAAGCATGATTCAATTGCATCCATAGAGCTCTAATTCAAACCAGGCATCCTCTAAGTCAAAGGTTTCTAGATATTTGAATTTTCTGAAGCAGTCCACAATATCTGGGAAGTCAATACTGAGCATTCAACTTTTATTTGCCAAAGAGTAAGACTAAAGGGGAAAAAAAACCAACATAGCTATTTACTGTCACCATTATTTTATTCACCTATTCACTCAGCAAATATTTAACAGTACCTACTTTGTGCCCAGCACAAAAGAAGCCTGTCATTAAAAAAAAAAGGTGGTGGTGGGGGGTAGAACTAAAGATTCCAGACTGCAAAACAATATATTGAATTAAATAAGTTTGGTTTTATATATAACTTATTCTGTTGTCCTTACTATTCCCATCCTGCCACAGGCTGATAAAGACTTTAGAGTAGAACCTCTGCCATCCATTGATTCGCACTTTTTGGACAGAAGCTCTAAATTATCAATTACATTTTTATCTAAACCATAAGTAACTGTTATTTCTCAAGTGATGGCTTTGGCTATCAACCTAGAACACTCAGCACTGGTCCACGGAGCATCCCACTCCAAGACGGTTTCTTTAGATGCTTGATAACTTTGTAATTCTATGCAAAATATGTAATCAACCCAGCTCACAAAAGCACTGAAATGAATTATTTAGAAATCCAGTCTTCTGGAAAACAGTATCTTTACCAGGTTTCTTTACTCAAAGCAGTGTCCACCTGAAAACATGTCAACATATGGATGGACTGCTGTGACCCCTTTGCAATACTGACTCACATCTGTTACACAAGACTTTTTCAATTATGGGTCTCTTGTCAGTAATTCTCAAAACAAAACAAAGCCCACATGATCACAGGAGGAAGGGTCAGAAAGTAAGAAGGCCAAAAAGAAAAACACAGCAGTCTTCGAAGTCATTCACTCTTTCTACCTAGCAGTGGAAGTCTGAGCTCACCTGAGGACCTGCCTATGATCCAGAAATGCCAGGTAATCATTAGTGATCTTGCACAGGACTCACAGCTGAGAGCAGCTTCTCACTTCAGAAGATCCTGTCTTTTCTGGCACAAGAAGAAGGAAAACATCCAGATTTAGGGCTAAGTTTTACCCATAGGACATTATATATGAATAAAAGTAGTAAGAACAGTGTCTTTGGTTTTAAAAACAAATGCTTGTGTCCCCTTTAGTTAATGTCTAATCTAAATGTTATGGACTGTATCTCCCCAGTGCTTAGTTTAAAAGGAAGAGGCTTCAAATAATTCCAAAGAAGTTTTTGAATTACAGATGTACATGCTTTGTGATGGTGAGAATACTGGAAGGGATGGAATGTTCAAAAGCCACAGAAAATTATGTTTGACATTTTAAGCAATATGGAAAAATGTTTACGCCTAAGAAAAAAGGGCTGCCTGTGAACCAATAGATCCCAGTTAGATAATGAAAAGGAGAAATATATGTGCATACAGATACAAAACGGGGGAAAAATACACCATGTTAGAATGATTGTTCTGAAGTAGTAGAATTTTTGCTTCCTTAGTCTGGTTTCCAAAGTTTCCCCAGGAAGCACATGGTAAAGTGGCATGTTACTGTGTGAGACATGCATGCTATGGAGTCACACAGAGCTGGAGCCAGTCCCTAGCTGTGCCATGTACTACAGGAGATGGTTTAGAGCCTTTCTGTCAATTGCCTCAGAGGCAGGTCATGAGGGCTAAAAGGGGTGATATACATCAAGTACATACTGGGGTGGCTGACAGAGTACATAGTCAATAAATCTAATTGATGTATTAGTTTTACAGACACAAAAATTTCTTTTTTAAAAAAGTCTTCAGCACAGATTCCCATATGTACAGTCACCAAGGTTCTTTGGGTAGAAAATAATGCTGGAACCTTTACAATCCTCACCCATTAATTTTTTTCCTATCCCTGGGGGCACTAAGACTCACCAGCCCTATCACTTGGGCTATAAACCCCTGGGCCTGTTTAGACTGGCAAACAGCTTCAAGCTCCTGAGAACTGCAAAAGACAGGGCCCAGGGAATGAGCACAATGGTATGCTCTTCCCTTAACATGTAGACAGGCCGTCATTTGGGGGACTGGGAGGAGCAGAAGAGGAAGCCTCTTCCCAGTGAAAAAACAGCAGGTTGCATGCCAACTGTGATGAAGTGCCTGTGAGACTATCTCAAAACTTTCACTTCTCCCAGGGGGCCTTGCAAGATAAGATCCCTCCCTTTAGATTATCATCCCTTCAGCAATGCTATATGTTGGTTTCTGTTTACACCACTTAGTAGTCTATATCTTGCAGTTTTTCTAATTATTTCTTATTCATCTCCTCTACCTCTTATGTCTACCACAGTTCATCAAATAAGACACATAATGAAGTACTTATTCTACCAAATGCCATGGTAAATCAAAGCAAAGGCTTACGTAGCAGAAAAGGCCTTGGGTTAGACAAAGCAGCCCTTGGTTTTCGGTTCTGAGTCTACTTCATTTGGCCAAGTTACTTATCCTCTTTAGGCCTCAGTTTCTTTATCTGCAAATTGAGGATAATAATAGTAATTACCTCCTAGCCTTACTAAAGAATTCAACAAAATATTGATCCTTCTTGAACCTCAATTTAGTCATCACTAAACACTGTGATTAGGATTAAATGGGAAAATATTAATAAGGAGTATTTTCTCTTACTGAAAGCACATAGCACATAAGTGAGCTTTACTGTATTATCCTTAAGAAGCTTACAATCCAGTTAGGGAAACAACGATAAGGTGAAAAGATTAAGAAATGAGGTTGGTGATATGATCACTTAAAAAGCAAATGGGAAACATTTTGATTGAGTACCCACTATGTGTCAAGTCTTGTATGTGATCTTATCTAGTAAGAACAGCAACCCTGTGAAGTCATTTTGTCTATCCTATAGTACGGGTCATACCAGGTAAGGGGCAGAGCCAAGATTTTAATACTAAGAGACAGGGCTCAGATGCTTCTTTACTTCTATAGTCCTATGAGACTGGCTCAAATTCAGTCTTTTCTCGATGAGGCCAACTTCATGGAGAACTATGAAAGCACATGACAGTCCAGAAGTGGTACTGTCTAAAGATGAAGCACCATAAATACCAACTGCTGACTGAGCCCAAAAGGATTCTCCCCACACTGGGAATAGCTGGGCAGCCAGGTTTAATGACCTCCATGAGTCAGACACTGTACAGATAACCAATTCTGTCCTTTTAGGTCTGTCAGGTCTCAGTAGTCCAATTTTTCTTAAGAATAGGCAACAGGACTTACAATATTAATACTAACAGCTATCATTTATTGAAGGCTACGGCCTATCTAGGTGTGTGCTGTTATCGATCCCATCTTCACACACAGAAAATGAAATGCAGAGGATTATGACTTGTCAGAGTTTGCTGGCTCTTGAATTTGAAGCCATATCTAACTCCAAATCAATGATTTATTTTAAGTGAAACAGACAAGACCCAGAGACTCGCCCATTCACAGAGAAAAGGTGAGAATGCAAAGCTGCCGGTGGGGCGGAGTTTAGAGTCAAATTACGATCACGTTTTTCTTTATTGAAACCGTTTACACCAGCTGCCTTTATTGAGAGCTGGGTGTCAGGCACAGCATTAAACCTTTTATTACACGACATCCTCTGTGAAACAAGGTTAATGACTCCATTTTATGGAGGAGCAAACTAAGGCTCAGAAAGGTGCGGGAACTCACCCAAGGTCACAGAGTGGGCGAGCGAACAGGATTCGAACTCGGGTTTGGGTGACTCCTGAGGCCCGGCGTCTTTCCTTGGCATCAACAACCATAATAACAAATCTTTTTCACCCAGCATTAGTCCGTTTATAAAGGCCTATCACCCCAGAGATGAAAAGAGGTGTAAGAGGCTGCCGAGAGAACCCCTGGAGGGCCAAGGCAAGCCCCAAGCATCTGCCCCTCTGACCAGGAGAGGCAGGGACCCGCTCACAGGGACACCTCTCTCCAAGTCCCCAGCCCCACCACCCGGAGAACCCACGACCTTGTTCCCATTCGCTACCCGCAGGCCGTAGACCTTTACCCGCTCGAGGCCCCCGCGCTCGGGGTCGGGGCCGCAGCTACCGCCGCCTCAGCCTAATACCCTCAAGCTCTGCCAGACCCGGGGCAGCGGCCGAGGCTCGACCGCAATCTTGCCCCGGGGTGTTCGCTCTCAAGAGCTCCTCCGGGAAGCAACTATCCGGTTCCGGGAAACAACAGTTCCGCAGATATTCTCCTCCCAGAAAGGACAACCTCCCTGCACCTTGTCCTCCTTTTTGGGATCTGAAAAAGCGAAACATTCAGAAGCGGGATCAATGCCTGACCCAGCCTACAGGAGATGTAACCCAATCTGCCGAAGAGGGAGGAAGGAAGCGGCTGACGTCTGGGCGAACAGCGGATCCTTCAGGCAGGTGCTCTCTGCGGGGCGGAAGTGGGCTGCGAGAGCGGAAGTTCCCGCCCCGACCCCGCCTCCGTCCCCGACTTGCGCGAGCTGGGTGTTTCCTGCCTCTCAGTCTAGGTTCGAAGACTCTGGCGTCTTGCTACTTTTCATGGTAAGGAGGGCGGTGCCCGCTGACTGGCGGCTCTAGGCGGCCAAGACAGCCGGACAGGGGCAGAATAAAGGGGGAAGGGACAGAGAGGACGGGATACGATGAGGAGCTGTACCGATAGGGGGGAAGCGGTTGGGGGATTGGATGGGGGCACGGCCGGGGATGGGGGAAGGGCTTTGGGTGGAGAATTGGGGGGTCCCTGTATGTTGAGGATCCGGGAAAGGGCATTTGGACTTGGGGAGTAGATATGTGTGTGAGCTGGGGCGGGGGGCGGTCTCTGAACCTTGAATGATTGTTGGAAATGATTGTGAAGAGAACAAAGAAATGTCATTGAAGACGGACATTGGGGTGAAAATGAAGAGAGATGGGGGGCGCGTTGGAAGGAGAATGGATAGGTTATGAGAGGCGGAACGGGATTCCTTGGGCGGAACGTTTGGCGTTCTTGGAAGTTGTGACTGGAGTCGCTGGGTTTAGGGCAAGTGAAGAAGGGTCATGCACGTGCGTGTGAACATAGGGGCGAGCGGAGTCCCTCGCTGTAGGAAAGAAACAGAGGGAGCCGGCGGGCGGGCGTGCATTCTGTGATCGAAACTCCGCGGAGGGGTGCTAGGAGCCTGAGGTCAGGGAACTTAGCCACGGACCAGCGCCTCAGCTGGCACCTGATACCTACGGTACCTATCTAGTCACTTCCGTTGAGGTCCGGGGTGGCCACACCTAAAGAGTTGAGGATGTCTCTCTCAGTTGTGGGAAGGTTTCTGTTTGCTTGTGATTCTTCACTGATGTGTTCCTTAAATAGCACTTTGTCCCTGGGTGGGAATGACCAAAGTTCAGCCTAGGATCCTCTTTTACTTGCTTGCCCTGTGTTTTTTCTCTAGAAAATGCAGTCTTTAGGGCAGATCAGTGCCAAGGACACTGCTAAAGAAAACTGAGTCAACCTGTGTCTGCCTTTGATCTCTCTATTTTGTGCAAAATAAGGACTATCCAAGGGGAAGAAGGCATTAAACCAGCGCTTCGCAAACTGTGGTCCCCAAACCAGCAGTAGCAGCTGCATCGCCTTGGAATTTGTTAGAAATAGCTGAATTTTCAAGCCCCTCCACTGAGTACTGGGGGTGGGGCCCATCAATCTGTTTTAACAAGCCCTCATGGGGATTAATGATATCTTGATTTGGGCTACGTAATGAAAGGGACGGGAGAGTTGGAGTCAGAGGATCTTTACAGTTTTGATTCTTAATTTTCTCCCCTAAAATGTGGAGTGACATCTTCCTCACTAGACTATTGAGATAATAGGCCAGTAGTTTGAGTGCTACACAAAGGAAGAGAATGTAATTGGGCAGAATGTTTGGAAATGGCAGTTGTCCTATAAGCAACTTTGGATGCAAGATAACGCTACAGTTATGTGGCTGATTCGCTTCAGTTTGATCGAAATGGAATGGCAGACTTCTGAGTTGTAGAAAAGTCCTCAATTTGGGGAGGTTTTATAATCAGCCTCAAGACAGTAACTTTTGGATCAGACTGGTTAAAGGAACACTTTAGCTCTCAGTTCTGGCCACACATTAGTATCATCTGAAATGCTTTTTTAGACACAACTAAGCTGCCTCACCCCGCTTCTTCCTGATGCTGGCTGATTGGTTTGGGGTGAAGGCCAGGCATCAGCACCTTATAAACGCACCCAGGTGATTCTAATACAGTGAGGCTGGGGGCTTCTATTTTTGAAACTTAAGGGACAGAAAGAAACTACACATAGGACCGGGTGCCATGTACTATAACATTCATCCCTGAGGGTTATTATGGAGATTATGCCTATAACTTCATATTACAAGTTAGGAGACCGAGACTGTTAAATCATTTGTCGGAACATCATGCAGGAAGCGGTGGGGCTGGGACTGTAGTCTGGGTTCACCAAACTTTCCATCAACCCTTCCACACACACATCTCACGGCACATACAAGGGAGGTCTGTTCTACAGAGATCAGTTAAGGGTGAGGGGTTTGGTACCCTTTTTTTTCCATTGTACTTCCCTGGGTCTCCTTTCAAGTCAATGGCTTTCCCCCTTGGGCTGATTTTTATTTTAAGCATGCATCCAGTTGCTTCCTGTCTGTGCCCCAAGCTGTGAAGTGTAGGGGGGCTTTTGCTTATGATGCTTTGTTTTTATGTGTGGTCAGGAATTCACTGAGTCATCAGAGCAAGATGTTGGGGAGCTCATCCAAGACCGTGAGGTTAATTGTAGGCTAACTAAGGTGTACAGAATTTTTTAGAACAGTGAATTGCAATCTTAGTTACTCACTGAAATCACCTAGGGCAGTTAAAATAGAAAATGCTGTTACTCAGGCCACACTCCCAGACCAATTACAGCAGTTTCCATGGTTTAGACCCTGCCTTTGGTATTTTTTTTTTTAAGTGGAAAGCTACTGTTTAGAATCAGCAACATTATACTAAGGGGAAATGTGAAAGAGAGAAGCCTTGACTTACCCCTCTAACTGGAATACACTTCTTTTCTGATTGAATAACATGGATAACCAGTACCTAAAGTGTTAATTACCACTGTGTCTTGAAACCAGTTTTGCTGTCTCTTGCACACACACCCCCAACCCATTAATAATGAAATCAAACCTTTGAAACAAGTTAAAAAGTAGGACCCCAGTATCAATGGCTGGGGAGTCCTCTGTAGAGAGGTTTGCTGTGAGAGAGGCTTATTGTCCACTGCTGTGTGTCATCAGCTCACTGTAATATGGACTCAGGGAAGTGAACACAGCCAGAACTTCTTCTCTAAGCGTCTCTCCTAGTATTGAAGTGACTGACCTCTGGAAGTGTGGACTCCGGAAGATTCAGAGTTTTCTTGGTCGTTTCTGGCATCTCAAGCTAGATCAGGATGGTTTCTGCCTTTATCTCTTAGTAATTCAGTTGAGTGTCAGTAGCGCTGGAAGCAGTCTACAAAGAGGAGAAGATAATTTGAGAGTTTGAGAGCATTCTCAAATCATCATGGTTTGTTTTACGTTTGAGTGTTTGTTCTGAGTCCGAGGCTGTGCTGAGTTCTCTGTGGCACCCCTCACCGCAGCCCCAGGAGGGAAACCCCGCTGTTGTCCCTATTTGATAAATGGGACTAGACTCACCCAGATGACCCAGAGCTGGCAAAAGGCAGGGCTGGGCGCTTGGACTCAGGTCTGACTTCCAAACCAAGCCCTTAACACACATTGCCTCCCACCTTTTGGTGGGGGGCTTTTTTGTATTTTCTGAAGAGGAGGTGAGGCTCTCCTTTCTCAGTTTGTATCTCATAGCTCTATATCTATGAAGTATGACTGTTGATAAAATCATGGGCTCGAGGCCAGGCAGGACTTGCCCACATCCATCATTGCTCTGTCACTGACCTGTACCTCTGTCACCAACTCAATTTGAGAAGTGGTTACTTCTCTGGGCTGTAGTGTCCAAAAGCACGAATGGAAATAACGATAGCTGTCTTCCAGCGTTGTTTGGAATTTAAATGGTTATAATGTGGTGGTAGAAATGAAAACAAATGGCATGGAAAAGGGGCATTGAGGGGCTTTCTGGGGCCATAGAAATGTTCTCTATTTTGATTGCTGTAGGGGCCACACAGATGCATTTATTGACCAAAACTCAAATGGTACACTTAAAATATACTTTATTGTGTGCAAGTTATCTTTGGAAAGGTAATGGAAAGCAAAAAAAAAGTGTCTAAAGCACACTTAATGACCCTTTTGTCTGATTCATGGTATTGCCTTACAAAATGCTAGACCTTTTACAAAAAAGTTTTTTTGTGTGTATAAATTTGGATCTGTAAAGGGTAATTAAAAAAGTATTTCCATTTTGGAACAGATTTCCTTAACTAACCCCCCACCCCCCCCTACCCCGGCAAACACTGCCACCACCACCCTCCGCAACAACAAGCCTTCTCCCCTTCCAGGTTCAGTTCTTTAGAAACTCTTTATTCCCGTAAGCTGCTTCTGTCATCCCCAGGAGAAAGAGCTTTGCTGGGGAAATGGTTAGTGTGTAGGGTTTCTGGGGACTGTTTTCAAAGGAAAGCTAGAAGGGAAGGGTCACCGCTTCCTCTCTGCCTCTTTTCTTTTATGTTTGGCATCAGACCGCAGAGACCCCAGGTTAGCTAAGCCCGAGCTTTTGAAAACTTACCTTCTTTGTGGTGTTTTCACTTGATGAAGCAGGAACAGTTTCTTGAGAAAACACTTTTCTTTCCAGGAGGCCATTCTCCTCTGTGTCACTCTGCAGGACTCTGACAGGAGTCCCCCAGGAGTGATTTCCAGGCCACTCTCTTGGGGGAATGGGGGTCGAGAGGGTTGGCCATTGCCTCTGCGGTTACCGGTAGATAGCAGGTTGCCACCCATTTGCCCTTTATCCCATTGAAAAAAATAACATTCGCGTTTTACTAATGATCAACATAATCAGTGTTTATTTTGAAAGATCTGAAAAAGAAAGGTGTAAGAATTAAAAAAGCAATCCTTTTTCAGTTTCAGGGTATAGTGTTTCAAAGTTTCATTCTGTCAGTGCCCTCCAGCCAAAGCCACCAGAGGCACGTCTGTAGCTGGACAGAGCTGGGTTATGTTCCATGTCGCCTTGAGGGAGAACTGCAGGGAGTCTCAGGATTTGGGCTTGAGTTGGGTGATTTGGGGGGAGCATCCAGGGAAGTGGGCTTTGCTCTGTGTTGAATGCTGTCAGGAAGCAGGACTAATTCTGTGAGTGGGTCTCAGTAATTCCCATTTCTGAAGGTGGCAGGAATGGATTGTGGCTAAAGCTCTAATTGTTCAAGAAGCAGTGGTGACTCATGTTTGGCAGGATACAAGGATGTTTGGTCATCTTT